CTTGAATAAGGAGCACTTTAATTTTGATGAAACAAACATGTAATTCCAATAATTAGTAGCGAAACCAATGATCAAGACACATATAATGCGATTGAGGTGGAGTTGATTTAGGAAAGAAAGTACTAAGAAATAATAAAAATAAATTTCATGACAGAATAGAACCCAATCGAATCATATATAGGTCGATTTAGAGGGGGAAAAAAGCAATGTTTCTCAACGATTCTGTGCAGTACGTATAAATCTCAACAATTTCAAATGTTTCTGCACAATAAATTAGGGAAGAAAGCAATATTTCTTAATGATTCTGCGTAGAAGATATAAAGCTCATCAATTCTCAACGTTTCTGTGCAACAAATATGAACTATACAAGAAATTCTAATGGCAATTAATGTCCCGGTACTTTATCTACCTATGCACTCCTTTAGCATCCCAAAATTACATATTAAATATTATTATTGAGTACAAATGGTTGAAAATGGATACTTTTGTAAAATTTAATATATTCATAACTGAAACTAAATTAAAAATTTAAAAATTATAAATGAAATATTGAAATAAGGTGTCATATCATGATTAGTTGTTTATTGGAGTGTTCTTAAACTCCTAAATTTGCTGAGAAATCTCCCTGCTTTATTGTGCATGCATCATACTGAAATAAGCACGGAGAGTATGTTATATGGCAAAGTAAGCACTGATTCATGTTGATCGAATCTAATGTCTTTCACCGCTGTCAACTAGCTTGTTTGTTTTCCCCTGTCGGTAAAGCAAAAATTAATAACAAAATCTATATTTTATAAAATTTCGTGCACACTTTCCTATAAAATTTAAGTGGTAGATATATATATATAACACTTAAATTGTTTTCTAAAATTTAAGAAAATTAATTAATGTCTTAGTTTATATAAAATTGTTATTTATTTTTTAATTTATTCTTGTTCTTTATTTAATTAAATTTTTATTTATTAATCTTATTCATTAATTCTTAATATTAAAAATAAATATATTTTATTAATTAATATGCAGGTAACATATGAAAAAATTTGTCTCATTAATTTTTTAATTTTACAATAATTAATCTATTTTAATATGTTAAATAATTAAGAATTTTGTAAAGGGATAAAAAAGAACGGAGAAAGTAATTTATTTATTTTTTAACTTTGAGAGAATCCATTATGAAAATTTTACAAACGTACAGGTTCAACATCTCTGGAACTAATATCATTGATGAAATTTGTCAGGGTAATAATTAATTATAAGGAATAAAGTGTGATTTACTTTATTTTTGTAGGAATTTTTAAAATGGAAAATAACCTTTCTTTGGAGCCTCACACTTCTGTGAGCTTCCTTGTGAGTCGAAGAAAAGTGATTGAAATGCATGTGCATGTAAAAAGTATGCGACTTTGGGTGATTCAGATTGAGGTTTGACAAATTGGATTGTGGACGCGTAGAAAGCACATTGACCGGTTAGGAAAGAGGGCACTGTTTGTCTGTGTTCCAAGACATTCATTATTCTTTCATAATTACATCATCTTCATACAGAAACCCATGCTTATTGACATTCATTTTAATTTACCCTTGGTTGCTTCGAGGGATGCAAAATCAGTACCTAACAATGGTTGCTTTGAGGGAATATTTAAAAAAAGATAAAATAAAATATATAAAACTAAATCTAATAACAATCTTTTTTTATTCTTGTGTGGTATTCCTTTTATATCTATAATCTATAATATAATAAAGATGCAAGCTACCACTTGAAATATTTACTCCATATTTTAATTTTGCCAAGACAGCGTTTTTCGTGGAGTAACACTTTCGATCATTTTATCTTGTTATCTCATATTTTGAGGCCTCCATAACCTATTTATTTTGATTATAAGGTAGCAAAGTTTTTGTGGTTGGACAGCAATGCCAAAGACACTTCTTAGATAGCACTAAGACTCGAAGACCAATCACACCCACTAGAGCTCTTACATGGGACATGAGCCATTCCATTGTTCTGATCAGGAATTAAAACCAGAAAGCATCAAATCTTGAACTCAATGCCATAAAAAGTTAGGAAGACATTATTAGAGATTCCACCATTCATCCAATTAGAGCCCCACTGTTCCATATTCCCAAAGAAAAGACTCCTTGGTCTGCCATGGCCACACATGGTGCTTCCCATCATACGGAAGCTAGCAAAACTCATTTTACCTAACATACATACGATGAAGTAGCAAGCATATCCTGCTATGTGTAATACCAAGAGCGATAAATGTATTTTCTGCAAGCGTTTGTGAACAATTGTTTTTAATCTGGTACAAGTTTTTAGACAATGTTTAACATTTCATTTGTATATCTTTTACATTAAGGGTATTCTTTAATTGTTAGCTAAAGATTAACTAGAAATTACTAAAATAAATTGTCTCTTAATACTTTTTTTTTTTCATATACACAAATTAATAATATATTTAAAAAATTATGATTTATCAATTATGTTGAGTTTGTTGATCGAGGTTATTGTTGACATTAATACAAATTGAAGGGCAAGATAAATTGATATGGAGACATGAAAAACCGTATAGAAATCGCTGAAACTGCAAAATCAGATTATACCTTCCCCACTTACATTAAAAAGACAAACAAATTCTCCATTAGAAAAGGACGCGAGTACAGTAGTCAGCTTCTATATATTTTCAAGCACCAAAGTTCAAAGAGAATAGGGTTCTGATGATAAGCGAGAGGTTTTCTATGAATGAACATTTTGGAAATGTGTTTATAAATAAATATTAAAAATATTAGTGCGATAGCACACATACGAGACTCTGTCAGTTTACATTTTGCCTTGTTTGTTTGTTCAGTGTTTTTAAGTATTTTATGGACAAAGGCACGGATGAACCTCCCCAAGATGGAAGCGTGAAGAGGGTAGAACAGGTAAACCCATATTTCCAATCTGTGGCGTTGGAAGAGTGAAGTTGAAACTGACCTTGATATGGTCCAATGAGTCTACTAAGAATGAGTCTAACGAGGTCCCATCTTAGGTTGACAGCAGGTTTTTCGACCTTCTTAGGTTGCTCCAAAACAGGCCTTGTGTTAGAATATTATTATAATACCCATCCCACAGTTCCAAGTCCTTAAGAACGAATGCAATGAAAAAACAAATATAGCCCACCTCTTCACATTATACATTATTTTCTGAGGAAGTATCCACTGAAAGCACTTAGACGAATTATTATTTTATAATAAAATTGTGTTGCATTATTATTATTAAAATTATTTGCAAATATGTCTAACTTTGAAAAAAAAAAATACTACATGAAAATATAGAGTTTGTTCTATGAGCAATACTTTTTTCTTGTAGCAGAAAGATTAAATTAAATAAGTTGGGTCATAAGGGCTCACAGAATTAGAGCATGGCTTAAAAAAATTACTTATAAATCACCCACCAACAAATATTTTAACTTCACAAGTAAGATTTGAAATCGCGTCTTAACAGAGCATAAGCAACACTATTGCATCGTAATAACATATTTAAACTTATTTTTTTAAAAATCAATAAAATATAAAGAAAAATTGTAAAGATAAAATTATTCTCATTATCAAGTATTGCATTGACCAGTGGAGAGTATTCCAGTTTAACTTATAGTTTGCGTTCAAGTTTTAATGAATGAAATAAAAATTTTATTTTTCATAATAGTCTTTTTCAGCTCAAACATAAAAAGTTGTTCTTAATACAAAAAGTATAATGTATATTGTTACATGAAAAGGGTCATGTTATAGCATAATATTTGGAGAGAAAGTCCTAGAGACAACGAGAACGGAGGTGAAGAGAGAGCTTAGACCATCTTTATTCCAGTTATTAAAAAAAACATATATATTAAAAAAAAAACAGTGGGACCTACGTTGTTTATAAAGGAATCGTGAAGTAGCTGGTTCTCCCCGTCCGAATACCTTTTCAAAAGAAAAGGTATAAGGAAATCCATTATATATGCTCTAATTTATATAATAAGACTGACAACTTAATTAAGTATTTATTTTACAAATTTTTGTCATATAAGAATATAGAATATATATTTGGTAACAAATTCTTTAGAATAAATTGATAACTTATTGAAATAAATTAAAAAAAAAAACAACCTCAAAGAATTATTATTTTCATAAGTTCTGCATAAATTCTTCCAAATAGCACCCTAAACAAACATCCATCAATTTATTTATTTATTTATTTTAGTCCATCGCGTCAAATCGTTCAACACGTCAAATAGTTCTTTGTTTTAGTCAGTAATTGTTTTTGTCAGTAAATTTAAGAAAATCCTCGATCGTGGCCAACGATGGACTTGAATTAAAGCCACCCCAATATAATCCTTTGTCCAAAAATCTCCAACCTTGCTCAGCTTGAAGGAAAATTAGAGAAGTGTTAGAAGTAAAATTTCTAACAATTTTTTTAGTGTAGTTTTATGTTATTGGCTAAAATTTATAAACTTTACAACAATATAAGAAAAAATCATTTAACTAAGAGTAAATTCTAAATGACCTTTTGTAAATGTTAACTAATAATTAAGAGTTTGTTGTTGATTTCCCTAGAAGAGTTTAGGGAGAAGGATAGACTATTATATTTTTTCTGAATTAAATCTCATTATGGCAAATGTTTCAACTCTTTTCGTTGCACATATTTTTCTTTGCTCCACGTAGAACAGCAAATAACCAACCCGTTTGTTAGCTTGTTTAGAGAACAAGATTTCCATGATTGTATTTTATTCACCGTTTTGATTTATATTTAATTTTAATTTATATTTTTGCTTTTAAAACAAATAGATTAATGCCATTTTTTCAAACAAAATGACAGCAGTTATTTTAAAAGAGTTATGTTGATAGCAAGAATGTTAACGAGTGTCCATAAAAAAAAGATTTTTAGTATATTAAAAAAATATTTAATACTTACTTTCTTTAGTAATTGAAGAAGTTAATAGCATACTAAGTACTCTTTAGGGTAGTGTTAGCTGGATCTTAATTATGATTTGCTCAATAAATTGTACGTCTTGAAAGCTGGAAAATCATCTTCAAAGACATTATATATTTATTCTTTTAGGGCAATAATAAAGAAACACACTCCTGCTTTGCAGCCCAGTTTTAACCACCTCAAACCATAGTTGAATATTGAGGCATTTGATTTCACTATGTGATTTCGGTACAAATACAAATTGATTTCCCTAGTAAAAAAAATTATAATGAGATTTCTGTTAAAAACCCTCATAAGCCTCTCACAACTTCACTTTACTGCAGAGCGTATGTTGCTGTTAAATATTCAATGATTTCAGCACTTTCAAACATTTCTATCCCAGTGTTTGGATCTTCCAAAAAGGGTGCCTGTGAATCATATCCATCAGCATATTATTATCCACATTAACTAAATACCATGTCATGAAGCTTGTAATGACCATGTGTGTTTTCACAAACATGACAAACTCACAATTTCAATGAATTAAGTACCTGGAAATGTCCAGTTCTCTGATATAGTATATGTCTTTTTGGGCTACCCCTAGCACAACTAAAATCAAATATTAAAGTAAGTATCATGGAAAAAACAAAAGACTACACAATCTATATTCATATAGCCCAACTATACATTATGCATGATGAAAATTTGGCGCAAGCATTATAAATCACATTGAAGACTCAACTAAGGAGTTGGTATCATCAACAGTGAAGTGATTTGTGTGTACTGGGATACAATTATGATGCAAACCAAGTATATAAAGTACAAGTACTCTCTTGATTTGTTAATCTGTGATGAATGGTGATAGCTAGAACTGATTGAACCAGCAGCCACATGGTCACCAAAATTGTAATAATTCTTTATACAGTGGCCAACTAATGCAAATCATAAGGATGCTCCATGGAATATAGTTGTGTGATTGTAAGTGACAAGAAACAAAGGGACTGTTTGATTAGAGAAAATATTTTCAGTTTTCGTTTTTAATTACAAGACTGTCACATTGTTTTTATTTTATTTCCTGTTTTATTGATTCCTATGCAAATATTTAAAAACGGGGGAAAATGAAACAAAATGACAGATTTGTAATGGTAAGTAAAAACAAAATATTTTCTCAAATCAAACAGCTTCTAAATTTTCTATAATACCCCCCTCTCTCTGTCTAAAAAAAGAAGTTTCTAATTGGGCATCAAATGTAACAGTTGGTTGCCTAGAAAATATGGGTTTTACCTGCAAAGAAGATGTGGCAGCTCCAATTCCACAAGTACTTCACGCACAAGTTTGCAGAAAGGAGACCCCTGAAAGAAACAAGTATTTCAAATATAAAATTCTGTGGCAGCAGATAATGGCTACATTATGTTATCACGTAATTTATAATTTTGTGAAAGCAGTCCCGAATTCATTAAGCATTAGGCTGCACGGTATGCATATTGTTGACCAACCTCATATGCCCATAATTTAAGTGGCTTTGAAGGCAACTTTGCTGGAGTGTAAGTTGTCCCCTGAAAACAAAAATATAATACTTATAATAAAAGTAAATGCAAATGAAAACACAAAGGGAAATTCATGAATAGCAGTCTACCAGCCATCTTGGTAAATACCAAATCGCTAATAATTCCTTCCATTAATTAAAGAGAAAATCACCTTTCAATAAAAATTAGTTAAACACTCCAACTTAAAAAGTTAAAAAAAAAAAAAAAAAAACAGTAAACAAACTTGACATTACCTTTCCAATTCGACCAAGCATAGCAAGACCAGCAGTCAGTGTCTGCAGAATAAGACAGCCTTTAGATACTTAAAACAATGATACAACTAAACTTTCTGGTGACAAACTAGAGATGGTGGTGTCAGGTTCTAACCGTTAAAAAACCAAGGGATAAAGGTACAGGAACATTTCCATCACCTACAGAATAGATAAAACACTCAACAATTGCATATAATTATATAAAGCACACAAAATTAGTATTTGAAAACCACAACAACAACAACCAAATTTTATCTCATTAGGTGAGGTCGGCTACGTAGATCAAATGACTTTATTAAACTCAGTCAAAAATTAAATTTTCATAAATTTGGTTAATCAAAAGGTCTTTTTTGCTAACTTCATCTAAGATTCTTTTAGGTCTCTTTCGACCCTTTTTTATTGAAATAAAAGTCATGCAATTCAATCTTTGTACTAATGTTTCTAAAGATCTTCTCTGCATATAACTAAACTACTTAGACAATTTTTAATCATCTTTTTCTCTATATATATTACTTTAATATTCTCTTATATACTATCATTTTATATTCTATCATTTTTTATATGTCCACTTATCCACTTTTCATAGTAGTATTCGCTAAAACATATATGCCTATAGTACAATCTAGCAAAATGAAATGAAATTACTCGCGCAATGTTATAGTGCTTAAACATATATGCTACAATCTAGCAAGATGATTTCAGGGATAAGTAAAAAAAGAGAATTGTCTAAATTTACCATTCTTTTGTGCTTACAAGTTATAATGCAAACGATCAAATGCACATTTCTGAAATGTGTGGGGGACAATTTCTTGTCTCTTATACACGTAATTATATTTTATGGACTGAATTACAACATGAAAAAGACTAAATAACATAAGCACACTACAGAAAAGGGTATATATGAAGAAACAAACCATATTTCTGAACCAAATACCGAATTATGTCATCTGATTCGTACATTGAAACACCTGTGTTTGGGTCAACCTGAGACCAATAGAAATAAGAAAAATGTCATTTCTCACTCAGAGACTCCAACCAATTATCAAGAGGCAAGATAAGGCAAGTGATGATAGTGAGAAATTATAGTAAGGCAAAGCTTTCAGCACTCTAAAAGAAGAGAAAAATGATACTACAGCTTTAGATAGTTCTTTGTGCCATATTTATATGAATAGAATACAAAAGTAGTTTATCCATTGGAAAATTTCCAGTTTAGCTCCTCCACAACTACAGGGTTGTTTCATTGTAGTTTAGGCTAGTGGACTTTTATCCCACCCTTTATATAATAGCCCAGAAATCTTAACAAAAAACTACTGGTTTTGTTTTGTTGTTTCATTTAAACTGAGTCATGCTTACCATGTAGGGGAACTGCTGTTTACCACCCATCTGAACAACCTTTGGACGGAAATTTGGGCCATTCCTTGGACAAGGATAGAAAAGAACATCAAGGTCCAAAATAGCAACAATTTCTCTAACCTGCATATAAATCAAGTCAAAATATTAGCCCACAACAAAAAGAAGGCTTTCTGATTTAATAACAAAGAATGCCACTATTAGCTACATTCAAATTTTGAAGGTCCAACTTAGTTATGATGGTATAACACTCTCCCCAACAGATAAACGAAAAGGAAAGTATAGCAACTAATATATTGGAGGGCATGATTATATTTTATTCATATTCAGTAAACTACATATCTAATCTTCGTACTCAAATTCCTAGAATAAAAAGATGAGCATAATGACTGTTTAAGACTTCCAGTGATAGCATAGGGTTATGATTTCTCTGTGAAAATCCACCATGGTATAACAAAGAATGTTAATTGCACCCTGTCAACTACATGTACCACAGTCCTCTGCCCCCGCCCCCCCCTCCCGCCCAAAAAATAATTGTGCCCCCAACAGAAACCCAGCACAGTTGTTTACACCAAGACAAAAAACTGTGGAAAAGAAAAGGAATTCTCATGAGAAAATCTTGAAAGAAAAGTTAACATAAATTTTCAATCCATACCTTTCGGCAAAATGGACAGCTGCATGTGGATGGCAAAGAACAAAACAATACTTAGAATTAATTAAATCTGTAGAGTGGCATGTTAAGAGCAAAAAGAATAATGTGCAGGTACAAAAGTAAAATAGAAAGATGGTTATCTATCTTTACATTGGAAAACGAAGATAAGGAAGTATTTACTCCATGCATGAATGCAAAGTACCTCTCGAATTCATATATCTCAATAGGCTTCTCTGGGCGAGGGCCTACTTTCGATGTTTCTTTTACTGTGTAGCCTGAAATCATGCTACTAATGTTAGCCAGAAAACTATATCTCCACTTTCTATGTCACAGTTGCAAGTCAACCAGATAATGTTTGATAACTATTTGACAACGGACCTAAAAACCTGGTATGCAAAATAACGAGCATTAAACATAAGAGAATATAGGTGCTACCAGAAATTTCCAAAGCATATTGGTCCGGTGGAATTTCATCCTTAGAAACAAGTGAAAAAGAATACCTGCCATGGCACAAGAAAAACACACAACTTTAAAATTTTCACATATAACACAGTCCTTTTAGAATTCCCACAATAACCTCAACAAAATTAGCACTCTGCCCATAATATGTCGGGTTGGTTTTTGGACATGGCTTTAGGTATACAATTGTGTTGAGCTCAAATGCGGAATAACTTGGACGTGTAAATTAAAATTCTGACGTAAACAGGCGAGCAATAATTCAGACCTAATAAATAGATCTAGCAGCGCAGCGGTGTAACTTGTAAAGTGTGCACTGAAATACTTCCCAGGAAAGAGAGGTGGATCACAACGGATCACTTAAATACCAGGTCTTTCCTTAGCCAGAATCTTTCCAGTTACAACACTAATACAAATACACACTTCTCCAGCAATCCAACAATCAGCCACGGAAGGATAACAAAAATAATTCTTTTCTGATGTGGAAGATCAGACTAAACTGCAACCACAGAGCATACTAAGAATTATTTTTAACTGAATAAAATAAGCAGATAAAGAACACCACTATTTAACGTGGAAAAACCTCCAATGTGGAGGAAAAACCACGGGACAAACTCCGAAAAATATTCCACTATATCTCAGGATATTTACAATATCCTTTCAACACTCTATCACACAAGAGGTGTAAAATATAGTGTACACAGTGAGACCCACTCCTATTCAAATATTACAAATTTTGTAATACCAAGAAGAAATAGAGATGATACCCACCCCAGTGTATTTTTCTCACACTCTTAGGATTTACTCAACACTCTATTTTTTTTTCTCTCACAAACACTCACAATGCTTGATGAAATCTTGTGTGTGTTGCTGCTTGTGCTTCCTTCAATTTCATTTCACGGCTATTTATAGCCAAATAAAGTTACTATTCATTTAATAAAATATTATTAATTGTTTATGAAGTCAAAAAAGGGGGCACCGAAATTGAAAATGTGCTGGACCTCACAATTCTCCCCCTCCAGCACAAAGGTGCACTCTTGGAATCTTCACATGCGATCTATGCCAATCAGCTTGGCACACTGTTGATGTTTTTCTCGTGCAACAACTTTCGTCATCATATCAGCAGGATTTTTATCCGTATGAATCTTATCTAGCTTGAATTCTTGTTCTTCCACTGCCTGACGCAGCCAATGATATCTGATATCAATGTGCTTCGTACGAGAGTGATACATCGCATTCTTACTTAAATCCAATGCGCTTTGGCTATCACAATGGATAACGTACCTTTTCTGCTCAATTCCCAGTTGTTGAAGAAACCTCTTCAACCAAAGCATTTCCTTTCCTGCTTCAGTCATGGCAACATACTCAGCTTCAGTAGTTGACAAGGCCACACATTTCTGCAATTTGGATTGCCAAGATATAGCTCCCCCTGCAAAGGTAAACACAAGTCCTGAAGTAGATTTTCTACTATCCAGGTCACCTGCCATATCTGCATCTGTGTATCCTTCAAGAACTGGGTTAGGTATTCCAAAGCTCAAGCACATATTAGAACTACCTTTCAGATATTTCAAGATCCACTTCACTGCTTCCCAATGCTCTTTTCCAGGATTGGAAAGATACCTGCTAACAACTCCGACCGCATGAGCTATATCCGGCCTCGTACAAACCATGGCATACATCAAACTCCCGACTGCTGAGGAGTATGGAATACCCGCCATAGCTTCTTTTTCTTCTTGACTTGTGGGACAACTTCTTTTGCTGAGTTTGAAGTGATTTGCCAACGGTGTACTAACTGGTTTAGCCGTCTTCATGTTGAATCTGTCCAGAATCCGATTCACATACCGTTCCTGCGATAACCACAACCTTCTGGATTTTCGGTCTCGCATGATCTGCATGCCCAAAATTTGTTTTGCAGGGCCCAGATCTTTCATATCAAAAAACTTTGACAATTCTTTCTTCAAATCACCAATCAGCTTCACATCCTGTCCCACTATCAACATATCATCTACATACAACAGAAGGATAATGAATTTATCACCTGGACATGTCTTGACAAATACACAATGATCTGCATCAGTCTTGGCATATCCATGACTCGTCATGAACGAGTCAAATTTCTTATACCACTGTCTTGGAGCCTGTTTCAATCCATACAAGCTCTTCTTCAATCTGCAAACCATGTGTTTCTTTCCAGTTTCCTCAAAACCTTCTGGTTGCTCCATGTAGATTTCTTCATCAAGGTCTCCATGAAGAAACGCAGTCTTCACATCTAGTTGTTCAAGCTCCAGATCCAAGCTAGCCACCAATCCGAGTATAACTCGAATAGAGCTCATCTTCACAACTGGAGAGAAAATTTCATCAAAATCTATTCCTCGCTTTTGTCCAAAACCTTTTACAACTAAGCGAGCCTTGTACTTCAACAGCTTGTCACCATCTTTCTTAAGCTTGAACACCCACTTATTTTTCAAGGCTTTTCTGCCTTTAGGGAGCTTGACTAACTCATAAGTATCATTCTTCACCAGAGAATCCATTTCTTCTTGCATGGCTTTCATCCACTGGGATTTATCCTTATGAGTCTGAACTTCTTCAAAGTTTTCTGGCTCCCCCTCTTCAGTGATGGTAATATACGTCGAACTAGGGTACTTTGTAGATGGCTGGTGTGGTCTTCTTGATTTCCGAGGCTGAGGTGGAGCTTCTGGGTTTTCTTGCTCAACACCTTCATCATCACCATCTTCTATTGCTGGCTCATTATCAACCCTAAGTTCTTCATCACACTCTCCCCCTACTGTGGCATTTTTAGGAGGAACAACTGGTGTAAGATCAACCTTACCACCTGGTTCTCTGATTTTTGGTGAAGCAGAATCCGACATAGTTTCTTGCTCATGGAACACTACATCTCTGCTTCTAATAACTTTCCTATTTTCTGGATCCCATAACCTGTAGCCAAATTCCTCATCTCCATAGCCCAGAAATATGCAAGGAATGGCTCTATCATCAAGTTTTTGTCTCTGTTCCTTATTCACATGAGCAAAAGCTTTGCATCCAAACACTTTCAAATGAGAGTATTTAACATCATGTCCGGACCATACTCTCTCAGGGATATCAAAGCCCAAAGGAACAGATGGAGATCGATTAATCAGGTAGCTTGCCGTTAGAACAGCTTCACCCCAGAATGGCTTAGGCAGTTTTGCCATTCTTAACATGCATCTTACTTTCTCCATAATGGTTCTGTTGATTCGTTCGGCCACACCATTATGTTGTGGGGTTCCAGGTACCGTCTTCTCATGCCTGATGCCATGCTCAGCACAATAATTCTTGAATTCATGGGAAGTATATTCACCCCCATTATCCGTGCGAAGACACTTCAAAGGTTTACCAGCCTGTCTCTCTACCATTGCATGAAACCTTTTAAAGCATTGAAAAACTTGGTCCTTCGTTCTTAAGAAGTACACCCACAATTTTCGTGAAGCATCATCGATAAACGTCACGTAATATCTGCTACCACCAAGACTCTCCACTTCCATGGGTCCACATACATCAGAATGAACCATCTCCAAAATATTCTCTTTCAGCTTTGACGTTTTGCTGAAAGACACTCTATGATGCTTGCCGAATAAACAGTGATCACAAGGATTCAACTTTGTATTTTTGGCAAACGGGATAAGGGACTTTCTTGCCAAAATCTGCAATCCTTTTTCACTTATATGAGCCAATCTTTTGTGCCACAAATTTGGCGAAGCATCATCCTCGACTGCATTCAATCCTCCCTTGATCAGCTTTACTTGAGTTTTATACAACGTTGAATTTACTGTGCCTCTAACAACCAACAACGATCCTTTGGTAAGCCTCCACTTGCCGTTACCAAAATGGCTGTCGTAATCAGCTAGATCCAAAGCATGCACAGAGATCAAATTCAGACGTAGATCTGGCACATGACGCACATCTTTTAGTGTTATTGTGCATCCTGTATTGGTTTGAATGCACACATCACCAATTCCCACAATATCTGCGATACTGCTATTGCCCATCTTTACTTTACCAAAGTCTCCTGCTTTGTACACAGTAAAGAATTCCTTGTGAGAAGTTGCATGATAAGATGCTGCTGAGTCAATGACCCATTCATCACATGAGTCTGTAACTTGACACTCTTCTTCTTCTTCAACAGAGAGTACTACCACATCCCCAGTTGTCACAGGGAATGCAGTATTTTCATCGTCATCCGATCTAGAGTTTCGTCGGTCTTTCTTCTCTCTGTTCTTCCAGGCTTTACAGTTTCTTTTTATGTGCCCTTCTTCACCGCAGTGGTAACACTTGAATTTTCTTCTGGGCTGAGACTGTGACTTATCTCTGGATTTGTTACTTCGTCCTCTGCTCTTACTTCTCCCCCTGTTCTCTGTGACAAGGGCATGAGAACTGCTTGCCCCAGAGTCTTTTCTCCTTGTTTCTTCATTAAACATGCTGTCTTTGACTTGAGACAAAGTCAGTTTTCCTTCAGGAGCAGAGTTGCTTAATGACACCACCAGAGTCTCCCAGCTGTCTGGTAAAGAACTCAAAAGTAACAGCGCCTGCAATTCTTCATCAAGTTTTATCTCCATGGTAACTAGCTGGTTTACCATGTGTTGGAAATCATTCAAGTGTTCTGCAACTGATCTTCCATCTTGATATTTTAAATTCACCAGCTTCCGAATAACAAAAGCTTTGTTTTGTGCAGTCTTCCTCTGATACATTTGTTCAATTTTGTTCCACAGAGTCTGGGCATTCGTCTCTGTGGCAACATGGTGGAATATGCTGATATCCACCCACTGCCTAATTAAACTGACGGCCTTCCGGTGTATCTTTTTCCAATCCTCATCCTTCACGTCTTCTGGCTTTTGATCTCCCTTTTCCACAGGATCATACAGGTCCTTGTAGAAAAGTATGTCCTCCATTTTCGGCTTCCAAATAGAGTAGTTTGTTGCTGTTAGCTTCACCATGGTACCTACGTTCTCTTCCATTTAATTTACACTCGGTGATACAGAGCCCAACTTAAGCTCTGATACCACTTGTTGAGCTCAAATGCGGAATAACTTGGACGTGTAAATTAAAATTCTGACGTAAACTGGCGAGCAATAATTCAGACCTAATAAATAGATCTAGCAGCGCAGCGGTGTAACTTGTAAAGTGTGCACTGAAATACTTCCCAGGAAAGAGAGGTGGATCACAACGGATCACTTAAATACCAGGTCTTTCCTTAGCCAGAATCTTTCCAGTTACAACACTAATACAAATACACACTTCTCCAGCAATCCAACAATCAGCCACGGAAGGATAACAAAAATAATTCTTTTCTGATGTGGAAGATCAGACTAAACTGCAATCACAGAGCATACTAAGAATTATTTTTAACTGAATAAAATAAGCAGATAAAGAACACCACTATTTAACGTGGAAAAACCTCCAATGTGGAGGAAAAACCACGGGACAAACTCCGAAAAATATTCCACTATATCTCAGGATATTTACAATATCCTTTCAACACTCTATCACACAAGAGGTGTAAAATATAGTGTACACAGTGAGACCCACTCCTATTCAAATATTACAAATTTTGTAATACCAAGAAGAAATAGAGATGATACCCACCCCAGTGTATTTTTCTCACACTCTTAGGATTTACTCAACACTCTATTTTTTTTTCTCTCACAAACACTCACAATGCTTGATGAAATCTTGTGTGTGTTGCTGCTTGTGCTTCCTTCAATTTCATTTCACGGCTATTTATAGCCAAATAAAGTTACTATTCATTTAATAAAATATTATTAATTGTTTATGAAGTCAAAAAAGGGGCACCGAAATTGAAAATGTGTTGGACCTCACAAATTGTACATTCCGTCATGATCATATGAATCATTTATGCTTTTCTAAAAGATGCTTGTCTTAATTATGATTTCAAAACATATTTCTTAATTACGATTTTCTACTTTCTTAATTACAAGTCGATAAGACCACACAAATTCAAAAAATTGTTCACTTGTCTTAATTAAGGCCTGGCTCCTATTTTAAGTAGCATACTTCATAGAATGTATATGCTGACCCAATTATAGCATTCTAAACATAACATCCAATAAAATAATCTTTCATGGGAAACCAGTTACCAACCAGTCTTTCACAGTAACAACAACAAAAGCAAATATTGTCTATGCAGACCCTCACCCGATGCTTTCTCTTTGCATTGAACTTAAGTTAAAAAACATCACATAACCAAATCAAACTACTGTGGTTGTTTACCACCACTCAGTAACTATCAAATCTCTGCTCAATCTAACCAGAACTAAATTTTTGAAATACATAATCGGTGGAAACTGAAACACATGCCTCAGTAAAGTGCCTATGTTCTACCTTGACAACTGAACAGATGCAAAACTCAAACCAAGCAATGGCAGGAACTCCAACCCATATATGCCTTCAAGAAAATATTTTGTTTCTTATTAAGAAAATCAACTTTGAATTTTCAGGGTCAAAGCCCACAAGACTTAGAATTGAGGTATGTTTGTGGCAAAAGTGAAAAAAGAAAATAGCAAAATAGAAACCCATGTGCAGAAAGAAAATATGGTCACCTACCCAGAAACAAAAACTCCAGTGGCAAAGCGAAAGAGCAAGGGAAGCAAAGCTCCAAACATGTCACTAGTCTTGTCAGGTCTGATTGCGAAGCGTTTAGGCTCAGGAGGCTTGAAATTGGGAGGAGGAGTAAATGTTAGTGACGAGGAAGAAGCATCTGAAGTTGGTTGTTGTTGTTGGGTGGAGACTGAGGAAGAAGAAGAAGAGGTTTCAGTTTCAGACATGGCTCTAATGGACACCCTTCTTCTGGGTACTCTTTTGGGCAACGAAATAGACCCACAAACTGAGAATTGGGATAGAGTCACAGCTCCAGCCATAGCCATTGGTTCCTCAAACTTTGTGGCAGTGTTGTATTTGGGCAATTGCACATTGATACTCAGCTTTGAATTTGATGGCAACGTGCACTGTTTGGCCAATCGCCAAGGACATTGAGAAAGGTACTTCACAATTGCTACTGTAGCTGAGTTGGCATATTCACAGGCACTCAACTCAAAAATATCTATCCTCAACGGTTCAACAAGATTCTCCCAACTCCCACAAACTACATCGTAGGTTTTTGTTCCCTTTAGCCTTCTGTCACCAACGTGTTCCATATTTTTTACGTTTACACCTTTTACTTTTGGATTTTTCGTCCGGTAAATTATTTTTGGGTTTTGTTAAGCATCAATTAAGATTTTGAACCTGTTAACATGCCACTTTATATCTTAAAAGCATCTAAATATATTGTAGTATAAATAAATCTTATATATATTGGTCAACAAAAATGGGCCCTCTATTATTTTATTTTTTCCCAGAGTCCAAAAACCACCGCCTAATGTCTCATTGTAAGTCACCTTCTTAAGAACTACAAACTGGGCCAACTTGAAGTTGGTTCTTCAGACTGGATCTATTATTTGACAAAAAAAATAAATCTAATTTTATTAATTAACTAATAAGTTATTTTTTTAACACGAGACAATTATGTTTAAATTAATAGGATTAGTGTAAATTAGTAGATTATTTCATGATTAAATTTTAATGTATTAGAACAATGGCTCTGAGGTATTCTAGTAAAATATTTCAATAATAGGATATGTTGTTCAAAGTTTATGCAGAATTTATTTTCCTAAAATTATATGTGTTAGGACAATAGTATCAAACTCATTAAAATGATATTTTTTTAAAAATTATTAATATAATTTTCATATATTATATTAAATTTTACCAATTTTAAATATTAATTAAATTTTTATATTATTTAATTTTAATGGATGATATATTATTTAAAATATAATTCAATAACGTTTACAACATATTCACGAGTGTTTAAATTGTTTTAATATACTTGATATTCATAGTAATATTAGAAGAACTTAACGATTCAATTGTTAAATTTTAATAAAAAATTATAAAAATGTCATATTTACCAGCACTCGATAGTAAAATTTACGTTAAATAAAAACAAGTTTACAAGATAATCTCAAGCAGAATTTAAAAATAGCTTAGGGATATAATTCAAATTTATCATTTATGAGTTCCGGCATCATCATATTATTCAACATAAAATAATTTTGGTGATATAATTCAACTCACTTTGCATGGGAAAGACATTCATGATCTCTAGTAATGATGGCCATAACCATGTGGAGCAATTTTACTAGACAAGGTATATACTTACATAGCCTATATAAAATATATATTAAGATGAACACACCATGAAAGAACGCTAATAACTCCAATCCATGACTCTGTGTTCTTTTTTTTTTATAAGCAAAACAAATCTTATTAAAAAGAGTTTAAGGGGAACTTAAAACCCATATACACAAAAAATTACTTACTCAGAGAAATAAAAAGTAAAAATATACTTATGCAAAATTAAGACAGATGCAATTTCGTGGGTTCAAATACCAATCAGCTAACATAATAGATTCTCCCTTACTAACAAGTGATAACTATTTCCAGGATCTCAGAATAATAGAATCTAGGACTTCCCTCTCATCTAAAACACCATTGAAAAATATAATTCTATTTCTATGACACCACAAAGACCACACTGTACTTACCCAAATAATTAATAAGCATATTCCTTCTCTTTTACTACAGCCAACACCAACCCAAGAAAGCAAGTGAGTCGATAAATCTGAAGACAAAACTAGTGAGAATCCAAGCCAACGCGCAGTAAAGTACCAGATTTGAGATGAAACTGAACACGTTAAAAATAAATGAGTTGAAAGTTCCTCTAAACCATGACAGAAACAACAAGTTATATCATCAATTTGAACACCACGGTCAATCAATAAACCTTTATAAGGAAGTGCATTCAACAACAATTGCCAAGAAAAAACCAGACACTTAAGAGGGACGTTCCCTCTCCATAGCATTTGCAAGACATCTGCCGTACACTGATCTACACTATTAGGACCACCAAAAAGTTCAAATAGCCATGACTATGTGTTCTTACTAGCTTATGAATACTTTAATCAAATTATATTTTCCATTTTACGATTCTTACCTGTGCTTAATTAAAATCAATTTGTTTATATAATGAGCGCACTTTTAGCTTTATAAATACATGATTTTTTTAATATGTATTCAATGATACTTAATAAGAAATAAATAAATAATAAATTTTGATTAAAAAAGTATAAGATTTAATGCTATTGTATAATTTTTAATATATTAAATTCTATAATTTTATAAAAAAATATTACATACAAAATTTTATTATGTAACTTTTAGACACATTAAAAAAACAATTATGACACTAGCCTCTCCGAATATCCATGACTTTGATTGAGAAAGATAATATTATGACAAATAAGAATATCTTCGTAAAAATATGATCTCAATTTTCTTCTTAATTTTTTTATATAAAAAATCACAAATTATGCATAGATGGTGGACATACCTGGTTCCTTTCTCAAAATAAGAATGCTTATACCTTAAAGATGCTATGATATAAACCTCTGAAATACTTTTATAAATTTATAAAGTGTGTATATACAAAGACATACAAGGTCAAGAGATCAAATAATATTGGATATTAAATTTAGTAAAGTAATATTTCTAATATTTTTTATTAAAAATAAATTATATCACTCTAACCGCTTAGTTTAATATTTTTGTAGTAGACAAAGTCCAGAAACATTAGCATAATTTTAATACTCATTAACATAACATTTAATTGCTTCTTTATACTTTAACAAATAATGTATTATTTTAAAAATAAAAATTACTATTAAATTATATAATTACAAGCATTTAAAGTATATAAAATTTCATATACATAATATATTACAAGAATAAATAGTTAGATCGATGAATGATAGGATAAAGAGAATTAATATAAATAGTGTTGTGGGAAAGTTATTAAAAAAAATATGGTAAAAATAATATAAACACGAGAGATGTGTATAATTAAACAAAAATAATCTATGATAAGTGGTCCGAATATGTTTCGATGGGATTGAGATCAATCAAATATGATATTGGGTTAAATTCCCTCACTTGCCAAATAAAATATTCTGATAATCTAAAAACAAAAAATAATGAAAAAGGAATAAAAAATAAAAATAAAAATTTTGTAATGAGTTTCAAAAGGCTGAATTGGGGTGGGAGAGTTAGAGAAGATAGGGATTCTGTTACCAAAACTTGATTCCTTGTTAGCTGAATATTTATATATTGCCACTTCACTCACTCACTCACACTGTGTATTCACTCAACATGGACGTAATATTTGAACTCCAAAGAGGAAGATCGTTCACAATAGAAATTGGGTTCTTCGACACAATCTTCGAAATCAAAGAAAAGGTGCAAAAATACCAAGGGATTCCCACCTCCACGCAAACCCTAATCCTAAATGGCCAAGTCCTTCAAGACAACGACGACGTTTGGAAGTGCGAAATCCTTCACAACACCCGCATTAACCTCCAGGTCTCCCCTGACTCCGACAAAACAGAGGACTCCGTTGCCGTTACTCCTCCACCCACCAAAAAAATCCACCTCAATGTTAAAACCAATCCCTCCAAAACTCAGGTCGTTCCTCTCGAAGTCGACGTAAACGACACCGTGTTGCGCCTCAAGGAAAAGATTCACGAAATCGAAACGGTTGCCGTGCCGGTTAACCGGTTACTCTTGCATGCAACGACGACGGGAACGGAACTGCAGGACCATCAGGCTTTGCGAGATTGCGATTTTTCGGATAGTGGCGAGATCGACGTGAGTTTGAGACCGTCGCCGACGACGACTTCTTCCGGTGGCGGAGGGTCGAAGAAGTTGAAGCTAATGGTGTTGCCAAAGAGCGGGACCAAGAAGGTTCCGGTGGAGATGAACGCATCGGATAATGTGGGAGAGTTGAGGAAGGAGTTGCAGAAGTTGCATCAGAGGCTTCAGTTTCATCTTCCACAAGATGGTTATTTCTTCATTTACAAGCAGAATGTTATGGATGATGATAGGTCTTTCCGTTGGCACCATGTTGGGCAAGGTGATACCATTGAAATCTTCAATGGAAGCGTTACTGGTGGCTCGTGATATTTAAATGTTAATTAATTATTGATTTGTTCTGTCCCTTTGTTTTTGTCTATGAATATTAGTTTTGGATTCATTTCATAGAATTGTGTAGGGACAATTCTTTTCTTTCATTCGTTGATTTTGTTTTGAATTTCGAATATAAGAAAAGAAAAGCATAGACTCGTGTTAGGATAAAACTTACGTGCAAAACCGGTGCCATTCTTCTGTTAAGATTAAAGTTTAATTTTGATGACTTGTTTCAATTTTTGTTGACACTTCTTTTGCTTTACACACGTATATATAAACTCTCTTGATAAAGTAACAAATCAGATTATATGAATAGAGAAGAAAAGGAGGTAAAAATAATGTTTTGAAATGAACGTAAAAGGAAGTGTAATTAACGTAGAATGATGTGAAATAAATCAGAACTCATAATAGACATCATCTGTATTGAAAAGTTAGCATAAACAACAGTCATCTGTATTGAAATTTGTGCTATAACATTTATGAAAAAAAAATAAAAATCAAGAGATGGTTGTGTAGAAATATAAATAAAGAGATTGAAATACAAAATAATTAAAATTGAAGCAATTAAATTCCATTCATTTGTGGAATATAATTTGTCTGGATTCTTAAACTTTGCATATCTTTTCATCATGAGGTTCAGAACCGGTATTATTTTGGGCACAACCAACAAAAGCCAAGAAAAGAGGTGTAAGGCTATCTAAAAGAAGCGTGGTTTGGACATGGAGGTGCATTAAAAATGGAGATGATCACAGTCGCTAGGTTGTGATGTAGGGACAGGGTGCAAGGTCTGGATCCCACATATACATGGAGGTGCAACTGAGTTGCAAATAATTATTTAAATTCTTTTCACCAAATACCTGAATGAAGCGTTTTATTGAGTAGTAATTAGAGTATCTCTAAAAATTGCATCACCCTTTTTCAATGTTTTATCCAAGCACAATGTAAGAATGTTTGCATAGGATTTTAAAAGAATCACGAAGTGCTGGTGTAATGTTGATAAAGTACAAGTGATGAAAGTAAATTATTGAATTAAATTTGACCATTGGGGTATTTATGATCAGTTGGTTGACATGTTTGTAAAGTTGATTTTTCTTGTCTTGGTATTGAAATCTTTGTTATCAATTTTTTGGTTTTCTTCCCTACAAGGAATATTGACAATCGAATCCAAATTAAATGTTGCCTGATTGTCATGAAAACTTAATATCTCTAATTAAGAATAATAATCAAATCTATATTCTTCAATGTATATCCACAAAAATTATCCATGATGCATGTAAGGGTTTTTATTGCAATTAAATAAGCTTGTTCTTCAACAATGAACAATTGTCCACAAATTTTTACAGGTATAAATATAAATTTAAAATTTTATCCTTGATAAGCCACTCTGAGACATTAATCCCTCCCACAAATTTAAATTAATTTTTATTTTATAATAAATGTTAAGGTTAAAATAATATTTGATTTTACTGGTTTATAAAAAATACTCCATTTAGTTAAAGCGCAAGTTATGAATCCAAATGAGTACATAAATATCTACTAAATTTGTCCACTTATGATATACCAAAAATTTTACCCGTGTGTGGGTTTAAGTACAAATTTTCTAAATTATATGTATGAATACGAATATTTTAGTATTATATCTAAACGTTATCTATTCTTACTCTTTATTTTTTTTATTGAAATTGTGCCTCTTGAAAATTATATATATCGAGAACAAAATAATTAACATATCTTATATGACAAAAATCAGTGTTTAGATACGTTTTTTTTTTTACTTAAAATAATTTATAGCAAAATTTAATGAAAGAATTTTGAAAAAATAATAATTATTTTCTACGAAATTCCAAACACAGATTAATCAATACTAAGAGCAAACAAATTTTGCTATATGTAAATTATATTATTTAAAAATTACAAAAATATAACTTTTTAACAAAAAAAAATTCTAATGACAAGCAGTTTGATATTATTTAAATAAGTTTTCAAGTTCGAGTTCTTATATTATAAAAAAAAAATTAATAATAAATTCATTGAGCACATCTAAATACACGATTTAGGTCAAATTTAAATTAAAACAGCTTATCCCTCTTCAAATCCATTACTTGATTTTTAGTTGAAAAAAAAAGTAATTTTTATACTTATGTTTTTCACGTATAATTTTTTTATAATATTTTAATTTTGCTCTCCCTCTTTACGCATTTGACATTTCCAAATAAGATGACAAAGAATCAGTTTTCTAAGTACAATAAATATTTCATGAGCTTAGCAATATTAGCCTATATGTTAAAAATTATATAATATTTTTTATTTAATAATTAAGATAATTTGTAAGAATAAAAAGTACGAGAATTTAAAGGTATTCAATTTTTAATTTTTCTATCTTGTATGTCAATAAATTATCTTAATTATTAAATAAAAAATATTTAATATTTTCATTTACTCTTAAGATAGTAAATGCATACATTTTTATTTAATATTTATTTTATAAAGTATACGAAGAATATGGAAAAATATTTGGTAAAAATCAAAAGTAGAGTATAATTCTAAATTCTTATATCTTACATATTTACAAATCCTTCTAATTATACTAAATGAAGAAATTATTAATTACTACTTTTTATATTATTCTACATGTCTTCTTACTACTTTAATAAGCATTAAATGAAAAAGTGTGTATTTATTATTTTAAATATATATGTAATATTTTGTTTCTTTAGTAATTGAAAAATTAAAATAAATAGTGTAAGAATTTAGAATTATTTCTTACCAATTTTACTTATGTTTAAATATAATTTTTATTTACTAATTTAAAAAATGTAAGACTAGATTCACATGAAAAAGTTTTAGCTTTCCATTTATGTATATTGTTTATATTTAAATACTTTTGAGCTAATTCCACTCTTGTCACTCTTTGTTTTATCCCCCTTTTTTTCGTGTATACCTTTTATATATAAAATTTAAAAACAAATTTTTAAAATAAGGTAATTTAGAAATATATATACAAAAACTAAGTGAAAATGTGTCGCACAAACTAAAGGATGACATGTGTTACACTCTATGTATTGAGCTGAATAATAATGCACCATATATTATATGATGACACATGTCAATGTTTGGTGTATAAAACCTTTTAACTTGCATCACATGGTCAAACTGTGATATTGTGATGATTTTGAGAGAGATTATGATAAATTTAAAATTAATAAATTATATTAAAAATCTTTCAATTAAGAGTGTATTGGTGGAATCAGATTCCAAACTAGTATATTATTTAATGAATTTTCATATTTTTTAAGTCATAAGTTGTTTCCAACTATTAGAGAGATTAAAATCCTAATTTAATTTATTAACATTATTAGTATCATATTTTTAGAGAATTTAATTATCATACAAATTTTTTTAGTCAATTAGACTTTTCAAGTTTCTGAAAATAAATTATTTTTAGATTTTTATTCTTCCTTAGTTGTTGCTCAAGATGATTAATTAGTTTTTTTTTTAGTTTTTTCCCGTTAAATATAAAAAAATTGTGTTCATAATATTAAAATTTTTATATTAAATTGTAATAAATTTATTTATTTTATAATTAAAAATTATTATAATATTTCAAAAATATTTTACAAAATGAGTAAAATATTTTTTTAAAATATTTTTATTAAAAATTCTTTATATAATTTTTGATAAAATATTAAAAATAGTATAAAACATGAATAAAAAGATATTTTTTATTATATTCTTTAATCTACCATTCTAGATAAAAATTTAAACAATGGAGATAAGATAATTCAACAAGATAAATTATATTATATTTTATTGGTTAATCCACCATTAAAGAATGGAAGACAATCTACAGCGAGTTTTTATGAACCTTTGTTAGCCGACCATGGTGGTGGTGATGGTCCCTTCCATCTTCATTCAACGGGTCAAAAAGCCATGTTGAAGCGTATAAGTATGAAAAATAACGTAGCTTTTATGACTTTGAGGGTGAGAAAGGAACAGTGTATCTATAGGTAGTGGAATTCATTATATCCATTTCAGTTCTCTCAGTCCAAATCCATAACCAGAAAAACAAAATAAATGGAATCTTTCTTCTTTGAGAAGGTTTTTTACGTTAAATACAAACAGCAAGAGGCCAAATTTGAGGAGAATCAGTTGATTCACTGCTGCACAAGCTTTTACATATTTAGATTTGCATCTTTTTTTCTTAGGAAAACGTGTGTCTATGCGTAGAGAAAAATATAAAATTTAAAAAAAACAATAATGAATATAATATATTAAAAAATTATTAATATTGTTCAGGTATCCACAATATATATATATATATATATATATATATATAATAAATAAGACCTCATTTGTTTTTCTTATTTATAAATCATGAATTTTATCATTTATCCTGTTAAATTGTATGTTTACATAGAATATATCAAATATATCATTTTTATATAATTTAAAAATTACTTAATATTGAATTGCAATACTTTATTTAAAAAAAAAAACATTGTTTAAAATATAAATATTTACTATTTGATTATGAATATCCAAATACATAATTAATAATAATTGGATTGGTTCATTCCACATTATATTAAAAATTATTAAATAAAAAACATTTAATACTTAGTTAGTGCATATCTAGAAAAATTTTGTTTATAAAAAGATAATCATTTTAAAAAAGCTTTATCATAAAGTTGAAAAATAATTCTTAAAAAAATAAATAAAATACACATTAATACCTGATGCCAATAAACACATGAATACACACATACGAATAATTTAAAAAAAAAAGGCAACAAGAAGCTATAATATTTTAAAAGTAAAAAAGAAATCACAAATATTTACTCATGATCCTTTTGTTCTAAGGTCCAAAAGTTATAAAATTGATTGGTTTTCTATGGGAAACTGATGTCTATTTTTGAAAAAAAAAAAGTTCAAAATATTATGACCATTAGTCTAAATAATCAAAATTAGCATTTATTTTTTTCACCTAAAAGTTGAAAGTGTAATACATATTATCTATTGTAGGAAGTCTAAATTTTGTTCATAAAAATCAAGGTAATATTTTTTGTTCCATAAAATACTATTTTACTTTTGTTTGTTTTATTTGTATCCAATATCAATGTAAGAAGGGAATAGCTAAATGAACAACTACTATAACATTACACAGAAAAAAGGGCAAATGGCAATAACTCTTTATGAGAAAAACTCATAAACATGTAATGTGGTAGGCCAATTATATATAGCGTTAAATTTTGGTTAATTAATTATGATAGTTATCTATGAATTACTGAAAATTAATAATATAATTGACCAAATTAAATTCATCTAACTTATATACATTTAATTTGTGTAATTATTTTTCTTAAAGGGTATGAATTTCTATTGAAATTGGAGCTTTGAAAAACAGCCCTTTATTTGGTTACAAAAATAAATGAGATTTCTCCATCTCCTCACCAATAAATGCAATGATGATTAGTTAAAGTAATATATGTTTAATTTTTTTAATTTAATTTTTTTTTGTGTATAAAAAAGTGAAAGAGTTAACCTTATTATATTGTAATTTTCTTTTACTCAAACATAAACATATATTATGTGCTACATAGATATTTTTCTAGCTAGATTAATGAAAAAATAGAACCTCCTTAAACATGATGGCTAATGTTTTGAAAATGGATCCAATAAAATTGAAAAATGAAGCAATGAAATCATAATACGATTAATTCATTTTTTTTCTTTGTGTAAAAGATATCCTCTTACTGATAGTTAATTAAAATGGACTTTGCCTAATCTAAGTTTTTTTCCATATACATTATTAAAATTTAAAAATGAACCATAATTAATCGAATGATATTCGATCAAAACTATAAGTAGTTTATGATTAAATAAGTTCAGCAACTGATCTGATCTATTTAAAAAATAAATAAAATTGTCTTGCATTCTCCCTACAGTTATTAAAAGTAAAAAAAAAAAAAAAAAAACAAAGAATTAACGCGCACATTTAATATTTTAAGAATTTAAAAAAATATTCTTATAGAGATTAGAATGATTAAAAGTAGGAAGAAGAAAAATTCCTTTTTAATTATACAATAATAATCAAGCTTTGTTCCTCAGCCATTTCAACTAAATAATTCAACCTCCAGAAGTTTCATTGCTTCAATTGTGCATGCGTGTTGACAACATCACCCACCCAGCACTAAGCCCTTCTTTTGTGCCATTTTTCCAAAGTATCTTTGTGCTGCTCTTTATGATCTCACTTGAGTGCCTCTTTTACGAGTTTGAATTAATCTCGAGATCCAATGCACGCCCAAGTTTGATTTCAGGTTCTTCGAACTTACCATGCCTAATCCAATATTGCAACCTTACAATCAAACTTTTAGTTTCAACCTTGTCTATGTCATTTGGGCTCCATTTGCACTCAAGCTAGCTCTATCTTTAACTAATCTCGTACAAAATTTCTCACCTGGACCACACTGTGCCAAAGTATCAATTGACGATCTTAACAAAGGATGACAAGGACGCAAATGCATTTCACTTAATTTATAAATTTCTTATATATGTTCAAGGATATATGCTAAAAAATAATAAATAATATTTTTTCATTAAAAATTATAATATTTAATATTATCAACACATTCAATATATTATACTTTATATATTAATTTTTATTATATGTGAATTGTTTTAGTGCTAAAACAACGAAAGCTTATCTGCATCACCCGCATCATCATTAATTTTAATTCAAACTTCTAATGTTATATGTGGATTTTGTTATTCTTCTGATATGTGTAATGGCATTAACTATTGCTTTCTTTCTTAATTACAAGTTAAAATATCAACTTACACACGTATTAAAAACCAAAAAGAAATGCTAAGATGATTAACTAATATCATAGTAAACTATATATTAATCCTGCTCTCTCTCTCTGAATATCTAGCTTGTAGCAATACTATACGAGAGCTTCCACTGTACAAAGTATTTGTGACGAAATTTTAAACAAAAAATGGCTATACCTTTTCTATATATATATAGCATGCATGTCACAACTTGTCCACCCTTCCCCTTGCATGTTTACCAATGGATCATTTGTTAATTATAGGTATGCCGCACATTATTTATTATAGAGAACAGAATATATATATATATATATATATATATATATATATATATATATATAGCAGATAGTGAATGTGGCACAGGATTCAGTCAACCCACAAGGGACTAGTCAACCACTTGGATCAATGAATGAGCCCAATCCATCCAACGCGATCTTTCGCACGATTTTTCACCGTATGTGGGGACCTGGACCATGCCGTGATAATCCACTTCCTCTGCAACCACAATTCATATTATTATATGATTCAGTGAGTAGACTTTAAGAGTCAACCCACCGTAAAAAGCTTCTTCATCAAGACTAACCTATTAATCTTGTTATTTATATAATTAAAAATTAACATCATTTATAATATAATATATAATTTTTCATTTATTATTCAAGTCATGAGAATTAGACAAAAGGAAAAAAGCTCAATTCACGAGAAATTTGTGAGGGGAACCATCCAGAATAAAAAAGACAAAAGTGGTCTATTGGGTAATATTGGAATTCTGTGAGGGCATTTTCCACAGCCTATTGTTTTAAATACAGCACCATAATTGGCCCATACTCTTCCATTGTCAAGAAGTTCTTACCCTTGAGCTCTACTCTAAATTCTGGAATCACTAAAAGAAAGCCATGGGGAACTGCTTAGTTCTACAAGAAAACATGGTAAGGATCGTGAAAAGTGATGGCAAAGTTCTTGAATACAAAACACCCATCAAAGTCCACCATGTTCTGAAACAATTTTCGGGCCATGCAATATGTGACTCACTACCACTGCAACACCATCTTCATCCCAACACCAGATTGCTTAACGGTCAGTTATACTACCTTGTGCCTCTGCCACGGCCTTCACCAAAAGCTAGCAAGAAGAAAGTGAGTTTTGCTGAACCTGAAGTGCAAGGTGGCGTGATTAGGGTTAAGCTGGTTATTAGCAAGCAAGAGTTGAAGGAAATTCAGGGAAAGGGAGGGATTTCAGTTAATGAGCTATTATCTTTAGTTCAACGTGAAAAAGGGATGGATGTTGTAGATGTGTGTGAAAAATATCACCATCGTTCTCAAGGGTGGAAACCAACGTTGGATACCATACCAGAGTTAACTGCGTGAAAAATGTTAACAACGCACTTTTTTAACACACTTTTGATGGTTAGTATAATTTTTTAAGTCAAAATATATGTTATTTTTAAAAATTATTTTGACTTTTTAAAAAATTAACTGATTAATAAGTTAAATAGTGTATTAACAAAGCGTGTTGTTAATCTTGTTCTATATATATATATATATATATATATGAAGTTTTTGGTACTTTTCAATTTAACTCTCTGGTCTTTGTTTACTTTGTTCTAAAAACAATCATAGTTCTAAACTGTGAAAAATGTTTGATATGCCATTAGAAGTCATCTTTTAGTATTTCTTTACATGTGTTAGCTAGGTGTATTTTTTAAATAGATAAAAAGTAAATAAAAATATATATGATATCGATTTTGAGAAATACAGGTCAAAATTTAATTTAGGATTGTGGTTGCAGTTTCACAACGATTATTAAAATTACAAAACAATACGGATAAACGGAGCTGATGCCGCTGAAAATACGGTTATGAACAATTTTCTTAACGTCATAAATTGGTTCCCTCATTAGATCCAAAGAAAATATGACTGCGCCCAGCAAGTAACAAAGGTCATTAAGAAATATAGCATCGTTGCCATTTTTTAAAAATCAAACATATTTTATTATAACTTTTAATTATGACGAAAGCTATAAAAATTATATAATTATGGATGATGAAATAGACCAGTATCAGTATCTATTACTCATCCTCTATCTTGATTTCATTTTAAATAACCCTTGGCAACTTAATTTCATGCAACAAAAGCAGCTACAAAGACGTTCCACATAATGTGTTTACTCGTTTATGAAGAGTCTAACAGCAATTACATTAACAAAACAAAAATTGATATAACAATGCCTTCAACACATAAATATTATAAAGCATAATATGTTGACTCAAATCGCTAGCTAGTTGTTCCTTTTTGCTTTATTTTGTCTCAGTCAGCTCTGCTGACTCCAATAAAGCTTCACACTAGAGTGAAAATGAAGACCATTAAATATCACATATGAAGGCAGCCTTAACCGTAACATATTGGAGTTAAACACAGTGAATTTCGATATATAGATCATGGAATAGAGAAAGGCGAAAGACAATATTGTTAAAGGAAATACTGGTGAGTGGATAAAGAAAGAGAGGGAGGAGGAGGAACAAAAGTGGAGTGGGAGAGGAGAGTAAGGTGACAAAGGAGATGGAAAAAGGAAAGAAACTACTCTCACCAAAGAAAAAGAAGAACATATCTACAACATGTAAAGGCCTCCATAGGAGAGAGACACCCAACACTAAGGGTGTATTTGGATAAGTACTTGTTTAAACACTTATTTAATATTCTCTTTTAAAATGATTATTTATGTTTTAAATTTATTAAGATAAGTTAAAAATAACTTATTTTAATAAGTTATATAAAAAATTATTAAAATAAATTAAAAATAATTTATAAAATCCATTGTTTTTTCATAATTAGTTTATAAGCTCTTCTAAATATGCTTTAAATTTCGTGGTGTGCACCATGCTTGATCACCTTCTTGCTTCTTTGGGCTTAGGTGGGACTAAAATTTTCACTTAAAATACCATCGCCTCATAAATGAATGGGGTCCTCTACCAGCACAATTTTGGCCCTACAGTAATTCTCTCTCACACCCATCTGGAAATTCTCTCTCTCCCCCTATCCAAATCAACATCTTACCAAAAAAATCTTAATTTTTCCTCTTTTATTTTGTTTAAGTCGCATAGAATGTGAGGAATACAACTGTGATTCATAAAATTTACAAAGCATTTATGTCTTTTCCATTTAACAGTTACAATCACTTGACACTATTTGATTAAAGACAGTAGTGTAAGTAAAAAATATGCAGCTGTATCGAGCATAATTTAAACAGACCTTTGTAGGTGTCATTTTAATTTGTTTAAAGAAAAAAAAAAAGATGGGAACGTTCAATATGCACTGATAAAAGATTTTAAACGCTTAAACCATGGGAAAAATAATCCATAAAATATGATTATAATGGTGTTGTTATAATACAATTTCCCATGATTACTATCACTAGGTACATGTGTTGACATGATAGGTCAACTTATAATAAGGGTCCACATTCGACCAAAGAGGTCTTGGATTTCTATCACATGCATCATGCATATGCATTCCCTTATTGAGCCCCTATTTTTTATTTCTCTGTCTGTTCCTTTCGTTGGTTTTGGTCTGGACCATAACATGCTGACAGCTAGATAACGTAGTTGATAAAAAAAAAAATAGCAGTATGCAGGGAACGCTCTAGGAACTACATATTCCTGGTTTTAAATTGACGGGAAGAATATAGCCAAATTGATTATTTCGACTGGTTGAACTACAAATTAATCGGGTAACTAGTTCAGTTAATCTCAAAGTTTGAGGGAGTAGAATCATTCAACGGGATAAAATCAGTTAGAATTGAGTAAGAACTGATGTAAAAAATCAGTTTAAATAGGTCAACTCATAAATTTTAAAATAAATAAAAATGTATACTTGATATTTATATATAAACTATTGTTATTTAACTATTTATTATAATTTTTATCTTATAAAACAAGTAATATGACATTTAATGCTAATTTAAATTTTCATTTAACTTATTTTTAGTTATTAGTAAATATACTATTTTATGTTAAAAATTTATATTGTATTATTATTAATTCGGTCCCAATTCAATCATAGTTAAACTCATGAATCATCATGAACAAATGTCTTCACCAGTTTAAATTCAACTCTTCCAAAGTTTGAAAATTAAAGGTTAAGACTTTTTTCTTCATTTAATTTGAATTAAAATACTGACTTAATTAAATATTTAGTCTTTACAAAATTGCACAATTTAAAATTAATTTCAATAAATTTTTGTTAAGATAGAATCTTTTATTTTTCAAAAACTATTATTTTTAATTTTTTTAGCTAACATAATCCATTAAAACACTATTAAACATCAACTTTTGATGAATTATATTAGTTAAAAAGACTAAAAACAATAATTCATGAAAAAGTAAATATTATATCCTAACAAATTATACTTAATTAAACCTAAAACATTTTATTAATATAATTAATTTAAAATAAATAGTGAATAGATTCTTAGTTTCTCCTTTTACATGTTTCTTTACTCCTCAGAGACACTGGGAAAATAACCCCCGTGTGATCACTTGGAGTTCATATTTGGTTAGATGGAATGAGAATATCAACGAGTCAAAATAGAATGAAATGTTACCCATTTTATAGTATGATTAAAAATAATGTTTGTTTCAATATATATAAGATCAAAATATTTTAATATTAATATAAGTCTAAAAACTTTTATATTTAATCTAAACTTTTCATTTAATTTTTAATTAATATATTATAATTTATTATTTCACTAATTATTAGATGTAAATTATAAATTCAATAAAAATTTTAAATTAAATATAAATTTTTTTAAACTTACATTAATATAAAAAATTATTATATATATATATAAACTGAATTTTTTCATATTAGTATAAATCTAAAAATTCTTTCACTCAGTTTTAACATTTTCATTTAACTTCCATTTAGTTAATTTTTATACTTTCACCATATGTATATATTGCACACATAAACACAACTTATCAGGATGACATCTTAAAATGATTTTAACGACAACGATACACCAGTCCGTGGGGAAAATATATATGCATTGTCTTACATGTAAATTACAAAGATGCAAATAAGTATAGTGGCAGCTAATAATCACGTCAGAATCACAGGACAAGTTAATGATTAGGGCAAATGCTACAATCATAAAAAGATTGATACAAAACTTACCCGATACATGGTTACACCTAGAAAAACAATTAAACAAATCCTTGCGCGGAAGTCCCCGCCCTAACGAGTCTAAATCATAGTAATTAAACTACAGAGGCCTTTTGCCGGGTATGCCAAGCTACAACCTCTTTATAAGCTAAGTTTCCCCCAAAAATATCCAATGCACTGCCCACAGTAACATCCACACACTCCATTCCGGCCACTTTTATCCTCTCAAGATCAGCCATTACAGTCACACCGCCAGCATAAGTAACAGGAATCTGAAAATCAAAATACATCAACAAGATGCACTCTTCAAATTGTTTTCAAAGAGAAACACAATGGAAATATGATGTAAGACATGATTTTTAACTGTTAGTCATCATTTCAGAGCCAGTCTTTCAACCAATGGAAAGATATTTTATTACATTTGCCACTCCTCATCGGAAATGCACCATACATACCATTTAACCGGGTCCCCCCTCCCCCTCTAAACAATAATCCCTTACTTATTATGACATGCAGGCAATTTGAAAACTTTAATGAAACAGATGAAATAAAAATCAAGGGCTACCAACCGGTGAATGTTTGCCAAGCAAAGCCACAAGCTCTTCATCAATTCCCAACCTACAAGGAGATTTCATTTAGCATCAGATGTAATTTCCAATTCACATGGAGTTGATTTTTTTATTCTGTTATATAAATTCTGTTGATCTTGAACACAGCCATAGATTGCTAGATATATTCTTGAATTAACTACCAGATCCAGAACAGATAGTTTGAAATTTGAAACATACACAAAATACTTTGATTGAAGTACAAATATAATTTTTGTTTAATCAACTGTTCATTTAACAAGACAGCATATCATTAAGGGCATATACGATAATAAATCTACAAGCATTATAATAAATTGACCTTTTCAAATGTACGTTGCTTATTTCATAGTTATTCACTGGTCAAAAACATATTAAAATGATTAATGTAAGTCTGATCCCAAAATAATTTCTTTAAACACAGAATCACGATGGAAGAATGCTTTGTTATCATCAATTAAACTACTCCAATGGCATTCATACAGAATCAAAGTTTGAGCTCAAATTTGATGTGGTCAACAATCCAAATAATACTATTAAAAAGTATTTTATTAGTCCACTCACTCCAGTTCACTTGAGATGACAAAAAATCTAGAAACATTAAAAGTGGAGCCTCTCAGATAAGAAAAATTGGGAATCAAACAAGGATATACATAGAGAATGAGACCTATGCACGAATGGAATGTATTCTAGTAGCAATGACAAAAGCAAGAAACACGCAGAACAAGTTACATACAGAATACTTTCCTTTTTTTTTTTTTGTCAGGATATATTACTAACTATTCTATCAAATATGGATTTCTAACTCTCTTAACTAATTCTAGAACGACAATCTTTGCCCTTATATGCAGTTATCTTAAGACATTAAATACTTACTTCTTCCCTTCAACATCAACACCATGAACCAGAAATTCATCAGCAAAGTTGGCAAGAAATTGCATTACTTCAGCATCAAGAAACACATCACTGAACTTCTGCCATCTATCAGTGACAATAGCATATTTACCATCCTGACCATTGAAAACCATAAGTGCTTAAAATAATCCAACTAAATGATCAAAAAGCACAGAAATGTTAGGACCTTTAGATAAGATCATAGAAGTGCCTTAACTATTACCAGGTTTATCAAATTATCAATGCATGAAACTATTTCTTGATTACTGACTACTTCCCTCCCTCAGATTACATGGAAATGCCCTAGAGTATTTGAATATTTTTAGCCGACTATTAAAATAGTTTGTCTTTCTTCCAGTATAACCTTTTCTTGAACAAATTTACCACCAAATATATAGGTTACTATTAGTACCTTTTTTCTGCAACTGAGATCCAACACAAGCCTCTCTTTTCCAACAATTCGAACAAGTTCCTTTAGCCTTCCAAGATCCATTTGTCCATTATTGAATACATACTGTAAAGACAGAATCAATAAAAAGCAATGTCTAAAATAATTTTACATTAACAATCAAAGGTGTTCTTCAATGGTAAAATCAGTGAGTTGAGTTAACACAAATCACGATTGGAAACCCCCCATGCATGATTTTTTCTTGCCACTTGACAAGCATACAGATCTTTTCTGTGTTTTCATTTTCAAAGCCCAGATTTAAAATAAAATAAGAAACTATACAATAAAATTAAAGGGAAACTGTTCTTCATGATTGCGCATCAAGCCCTCTAAACAATGTGCAAAGGTATTTCAAGGGATTTAAGTAGGAAGCCTCATCTATCTACATTTAGTGAGACATGATTTTCTCAGTGGATATTGGATAAACAATAATGGAATTAAAATATTGAACAACCCAAAGAAGATATAACTTACAGATGTGACAATGACATGGCTTGCTCCTTCCTCAATGTAACTAAAGCAATTGTCAGAATTTATTCCCCCTCCAACTTGCAGACCGCCTAAATTTTACCAGTCCTCCACAGTAAGTTCAGCAGAGGAAAAATCTGTAAGTTTTAAAGATATAATCAACCATAAAGGACAAAGGGAATGCAAAACAATTGTCAGGCACTCTCCATGATATATATAGCATAGACACTTTTAAAGTCCGTACAAAAAGTCTCATATCAGCAAAAAGACATCAATAATCTGCAATTGAACATTAGCCATTAATGTATGTCCTGTGGCTTTTTACTTTTCTAATTTTGGAGTTTAAATCCAATCCACAGTTATACTACGGTGACAGGAAACAAAAGGCACCATATCATTATATAGTTTGTGGCAACTAAATTTTTTATTTATTATTAGTGAAAGCTTTTGTGTTATTTCGATAGTTTACACCCTATAATTAACTGATAGTGCAAAACTTCTAAAGATAGTTAGCATCTGTCTGAAGTAGCTTATTTTAAAGAAATTTCTTTAGCTTCTTGAGAGCACTCTTTGGAAAACCAAAATGATTATTTCCCTAAAATAATCATGTGCCCAAACATGTACTAATTGCCAGAAATTATTTTTTTATATATGGAAATTAGTTGCATTTGTCAACAGCTTAAAATCCACAAAACAGCCCATATATCCTTCACATTGTATCACATTCTAAAATGAATTAGATGTAAACACTAAAGGACAAATGCCAGAAATGAGTGGTGGCAAATAGAATGTCCCAACAACAATACCGGGATAAGCATGCAATGCTTCAAAGGCAGCAGCTTTGCTCAAAGGATCTGCGCCAAGCATAATAACATGACCACCAGTAAGTCCATCTCGTTTGTAAAGTCTGGCATACTCAGCAGCTGACTTATCAGACTCAAAATTGGTCACAGGATCTGACCCATCATCCCCTTTCAAATCTTGAAGGGTGGATCCAACAATTTGCTTCACTTTCCCCTGCAATTAACACACCAACCTCTGCTATAAATGTCACTCCACCACACAAAAATAGCTCCTTTTGCCCTTCAACATGTCATAAATTGGAAAGCACCAGAAACCACAGCAATCTTCATAAAAATATAAGGGGCTATTTGGTTTTTAAAACATTTTTAGTTTTAATTTTCTGTTTTCACATAATCACAAAAATGACATCTAACATTCAATAATTCAATTTATTTTCTGTTTTCAAAAAATTGTACAAGAAAAGCAATAAAAAGTTGTTTTCACTGTTTTTTGTATAAATCTTTGAAAATAATAATCCAAATGAGAACACGGTAACAGTTTTGTAATTAGAAGTAAACTAAAAAACATTTTTTTGAAAACCCAACAGTCCCTGATAATAAGGATTAATTTACCTTGTGTATATCGATGCAGGGGCGGAATTGAACCGCACATTGAATAGAAAGTGAAGATTTTCCTGTGGAATAGAAACAAACATTAGAAAGGGCCAATAAACAAACAGCAGATACATGAGAGAGAGTGAGAGAGAAGTTACTAGAAGGAGAGGAGAGAGGCTTGAATGTAACAAAACCATGCTCATTGGAGCCAAAGATTGTTGATTTTACCAAAACCTGGAAGGAATGAGGCGCACGGAGATTGTGCATTTTCGATGTTCAGAGCATCGATGCAACAGTATAACTACAAAACACACCACACATTGTTTCATTGACGTTGGTAACAATAACAAAATAACATAGCAGAACTGAAAGCAAACACATTGCAAGGGTATTTATTTCTAAACATACACAGAAAATCCCCTAAAAGCTTCAATTGCAGCAAAAATTTGCAATCTAAGAAAGATCATGGATTGTGTTGAGTTTAGATTGAGAGATTCAATACCTAAAAGACACTCCCAGAAGAGGAGCGAGGTCAGCTACCTTCATCCACACAGTCACGGAGCGAGATGTCGCAAAATCCCGCAGAAACAAACGCTGCCCTAAATCTCGCACGAGTAAGGACTAAAAACACAAAAATTAAAAATATATATTTCACTTTATTTTAATTTTGGATTTATATTTATAATTTTATTTTTAATATATTGTCCATATAAAAATTTTATATTATTAATTAATTAGAATACATCATAAATATAATTTTTAAATTACTTATTATTAAAGTCAATCATTCTTGTGTATATGAAAATTTGTATTTAAATAATAACATAACGTTTACATTTTTAACATTTTTCAATTAAATTATATTTTTATAAAATATTTGATTTGTTTAAAAATAACTATATTTTTAAAATTTATTTTTATTTTTAAAATTAACTATATTTTTGTTAACTTTTTATTTCTTTTAAATTAATTTTAAATTTTGATAGACTATATCAAATTGAAAATGTATTTTTAGATAAACTATATTTTGAAATTCTTATAGTTTTAATTAAACTTAATTTGAATTTTATATCCCAAACTTAGACAATTCAAAAGTTTCTTTTGTAGAATATTTATTTTACAATGCTCAATTCAAAACAATTGTTATGTAATTGATAAGAAAATAATTTGAGTAATATGAAAATTTTATTTCATGGAATGTTCATGGTGCGGTTATCTGTGGTGATAGGAGGTATGCTAAAAATATTATACATTCCTTTTATCCTCAAACTAAAACTTTTTTATTACAAGAGTATTACAAGTATATGTGTATTTCTATTTATGCTAACTCGCTATATACATATGGAGACATTACTGAGATTATGTAAACTATCCAATTCTACTACTTGCTTTCGATATTTTTGTTTTAAGGAAGATTTTCTCCACCATCTTAGAAACTATCCCCATGTCAAGGAAGTATAGCTAAGGTTGCATTTTGAGAAACAACGTCATTTCTTTGGTAGTAATGTAAGTTTTTGTTGTTTGGAGGTGTATCTTTTCAACAAGAAATTTTCCTTTTAGCAAACTTTTCAAAGAAAAAATTAGTTGATCTAATAAATTTTGTATAAAATTCACCTACTATATGAAATCAATATTTATCTTCTTGATGAAGGTGGTAGAAAAATGTTATATATTATTAATGTTTGAAAACTTTTTATAAATAACATTATTAAACTTAACATGGATAGCGATTTTGCTCCACACATCGGTCACATGAGCTCATGAGGAATTTTTAAATATTCTAATTAGGATTAACTTTTGAGATTCAATAGTTTTGATGGATATAATAACTCAACTTTAGCTAATATTCTCACTATGTTTAAGAGATTGTAGATATGATTAATTTATAATTTTAATTTGGTCTTGGAATGTGAAGATCTTGTTTACTCACCGTGAAGCCAATCGAATTGTGGATAAGTTAGCAAATAATAATTCTATTCAAGATGGTTTTATGGACATATTACATGACCTATAAGATGATATTAAATATTTTTTATGTATAGATAATCTCTATTATGTGCCCTTGTAGTCTCGTTTTATTTCTTTTCCAATTAATAAAAAAAAACAATAATTTGCAGTTCATGGCCATAAAGGAAGTAATTTTATTTAAGGTAAAAATTGTATTTTCAACCAACAAAGATAGAATTAATTTTTGTAGAAACGGGACTTATTAATGCAATTTAACATATTTTAATTTTTAAAATAATATATGATAAATACAGTTTAGATAAATTTTTATAAAAAAATAATATAAAAAATAAAAAATATAAATTAAAAACAACTTATCATTAAATAAGTTAAATGAAAAAACATTTTAAAAATAAAAATATATTATATTTAATTTATTAGAAATTTATTTATATATTAATTTCTTATTTTATAATTTTTTAAAAAAATATTTACCCAAACTAAATCATAATCATTAATCATGTAAGTAAAATCTAAAGTTTTAAACAAGAATTCAAACTAAAGGTTTATTTGCACAATAATATTTAGTAACAATTCTTTAACTACACCAATAAAATTTTGCATTTATAGAAAATAGATCATTTAATTTTAACTACAAATTACCTATAATTTAATAAAAAAAATACCTATAATCAAACATTACCTATACTATGGATTTATTTTAAATTATCAAATTTATTTAATTAAATTCAATATATTAAACATTAATTAACTGAATTATGTGAACACAATGTAAGTGTCTAGCAACACAATGGTTTACACAAATAAAGATGGATATTTAAATTATATCTCCTTTTTATATTGTGTTTAAATTTATTTTTTTTAAATAAAAGAACTTTTAAGAATCCTTTTCTCAATAAATCACATAGCTTTTTTTACAATTAAACATTTAACTTATCTTTTTGTCATTTTTAATTTAATTTAATTTGAAATTTTAATATATTACATAGATTAATGATTTATTAGAAAAATTATAATTTAAATTTATTATAATCTTAAACAAACTTAATTTAAAAGACAATGTGTATTGATTCTAATAAATTTTAACGTGGGACTCCGCCGCAAATTTATCATTCCTTTTAATTTTTTTACTAAAGAATAATACTTTATAAAAAAAATGTGAGATTTTTTTTTTTAAGTTAAAGCATTTTTCATTTGAAATAATCTTATTTGACTGTTTGAGCCGATAGTATAACTAAGATTTGAATTCAAGAACATGAGTTAAGTTAGAACTTCTTTTTCACTCATTTTTGTTATTTAATTTTCTTTTATTTTAATTTGAATAAAACATCAAGATTATCTAATCCGTAAATATAAAAGTCAAAATTATTTTACATTCTTCAATAATTTTAATTAAACAATTTCTAACAAAGTTCTTATCATTTATTTTATATCTCTAAATTTATTAATCAATAAATTTTATTAAAAATTATGATACACTATTTTATTAATATATGTATTAAAATTTAATATTTAAAAATTAAAATATAATTTTTTAAGCATTTAGACCTTAGTTGAGTCATTGACTTCGTGTTTATTGTTTGAACTTTTTAGTCCTTTGAATAGTTAAAAAATTAAAATATGATTAAAATTATAATAATTTTTATTTAATTTATCTAAAAATGAAACATTTTAAATTTAATATAATGAATTAAGATTTAAAATTTAAATATAATAAGATTTTCATAAAAAATCATAATAAAATTAAAAATATATAACTAAATATTCAATTCTAAAGAAATCGCATGATTTAATAAAGATGAAAGTAGCTCTTAAACCCTATCACAAAAATAAAAACTTAAATCTTTAAAAATATATATTTCAAGACTAAAATGCCAATGGTTAGCCTATAACTCTTGCAACTAAAACATTATCAAACTCGCGGTCACTCTTGAAACAACCTCTATTTTCGTTATAATATATAGTTTAGAAAGTTCAATACCTATAATTATTTTTTAATTATTATTTTAGAAGAGTTAAATTCAATATGTTTCCATAGTAATATATATTTTAAGTTTTTGCGAAAGGTTCACATAGCCTCCATGACAAATTAAAGATACCGCATAAGTAATTAAAATGGGTCATATGCAACTTTTTTCCATTCACATCTTCAAAATCTATTAATAAATTAATTGAGTTTGAATTTTTTATGTTAGTTAATAATATATAAATATTATACTATGAAAAAAATGAAACTTATTTAAATAACTATTTCATTTTTTCCTCTTATAAAATAACTAAAATTTACTGCAGAATACCCTTTCAAATCAATGTAACTTTCTTTTAGTAACCAAACTTATATTAACCAAAAATTTTTAGAGACTGAAAAATTATTTACTCATGCAATTACAATACTCAACTAATTATTTATATATTGTGAATCTTGGGTGAAGTCAAGCTAAGTGAAGTACTTGAAGGTTTAAATTTGTCGGTATGTGTTGAATGAGATTATTTTTTTAAAAAAAAAGTTTTAAAATATTTTTTTTTGTTTGAAAATTTTAGAAAAATTGACTTATAATTTTAAAAATATTTAGAATAAGCAATATTTTAGAATTTATGATTAAAAATTATCAACTTATTTTTTAGTTACCTTTTTTTTTCCATTTTATTATTCATAATTTATTATTTTAAATATAAAATTATTTATTACATGTAGCTTCAATTTTTGTATATATTTTTACCTTAAAAAATGGATTATTTTAAAATTATTTTTTTATCTAACGTATTCAAATAGAAAATTTATGTCTGATAATCAATTATCACAATAGTTAATTATACTCATAATCAACTATTAAAATAACTATTTTTCAACTCATTGTGACACAGTTTTGTTTTATTAACTTAAGAGGTATTTCATAAATTAAACATAATTGGGACTTGTAGCTTCTTTAGGAGAGAATATATATAAGTTGCTTCAGGTAGCTTTGAATTTATTGGAAGGTAGATGTTGATATTTTTTAATTCTTAAATAATTTACATTCACACAAAGTAACTGTGAAATTTTTTAAATTATTTAACATATTTTAACTAAGTAAACAAAAAATTTTGTCTAATAGTTTTAATTCAATCGACTGGTTTGTAAGATAAAAAAATTTAACCATAAGTCTTCAGATTATTATACAGATCAGAGCTTTGAAAATTAGTCAAACTTTTAATATTTGACAAACAACCCATTTATCTGGTTTCAATAATAATAAAGTTATTCAATTGAAGTCGGTTAAACTTGTTTAAAACTACTTACTCTTGGGTTAAATCTTTTATTTTGATTGTGGATTTCTAAATTCGTCGCAATTTGGTTGAAACTGACCATTCACTGGATGGTAAGAAGCCTGAATAGGGAAATTATCTGTCAAGGTGAGAAGGTTGAAGTTTAAACATCTCTTTGCATACGAAGCTTAATTTTTTGTCCCAAAGAGATGTAATTTATGCATAGACTACAAGTAACACGAGAAATCTTACGGTCAAAGTGGAAAAAGTATGCTTATTATTGTTATGACATGAAAAACTTATCAGTCTAATAGTTAAATATGTTAATCAAACGTGAGCAGATGTTACCAAAGATGCATACAATAACCATTAAAAAAAAAAGACAAGTATAGGTGAATTTAACTGCAGAAATGATAGCTTGACGCCCCCATCTTTAAGGCCTAGAGTAGATGATAGAAGAACAAGATAAAAAAAAAATGTTAAATAAGATAAATAATGTAATATAAAATAAAATAAAGTGAGAGAACAATGTGGCTTTGTACACTAATCTAATTAAAATTCCAGATTTCGGAAGTCGTTTAAAACTTTATTTTTGTAGTGAACCAACAGCTTCCAAAATCAAATTCTTAGAGAAGATGTATACATATCCAAAACAAAAAGGATATAATATAAACATTAGGATTAAGAAAAGATCCATAATCAACAACATGTGGTTGTGACTGAACCGAATCACAAGTATGAAAAAATCAACACCTGTTTTCGATTCTTAATCCACCAGCGGTGGTTCTTCTACCCTCTTCAACCAAAGCAGCTCGAGCCATAACAATTCTGCTAGGAACCAAAGCAGCATCAAATGCAGTGCAATCAATCCAATCCTTCAAGAACTCCTCTTGTCCCCACATATCAGGAATCCAAACCCTCCCAGCAACTTCAATTCTATGCCTCTTCAATCTTTCTCTTCCACTATCTTCTGCCTCCCCACTTCCCTCTTTAACAACATCCAATGCAAAATCCACCTTGTTATGGACTTTCGAAGCAGATGGGGTGTGTCTAAGTGTGTTTTTTTCTTGCTCTTGCCCCATTCTTTTGTGTTTGGGTTGGTGGGGTTTCTTCAATTTCAATGGTTGATGAGGGGGAACAATATGGTCACCAGATTCAGCCATAGAGTGTTGTTGATGATGAGCCATTGAAGGGGTTCTGTCTTTCATGAAAAAAAATGGGGAAAATAGAAGAGTGTGCTGTGGCTGTTTTGGTGATTCTGTGTGCTGTGTTGTTCTTTCTCAATTGCAATCTTTTTCTGTGGAAAGAAGATTTGGAGAGTGGTGTTAATTGGGTGGGTGAATTAAAAAAGAATGGGTGGGAAATTAGTTCACACGTCACCCACTAGGAAACTCTACCTTTGTATGGTAAGTGACAAAGGTACGTGTCTTGTTTGATGAGGGATTCTAATAATGTGTGGCTTAGTAGTTAGTTCCTAATTCAAAAGTACAGAAAATAACCAATGGGAATAATTTAGAAATAAAGTAAAATAAAGTGTATGATGGAAGACTGATGGAAGAGAGTGGAAGGGGGTGAGCGACTCCTAGGATGGATTTTTTGAGGGATTGTGAGGTTGCTGTTGATCTACTACAGAGTATACTGTTCTTGGTTTCCAATTCAATCAATGAGGATGCAGGATTTGATTTTTGGTAGGGCAAGATTACTATTATTATGTTCAACTTAATATTGAAGAATATTAATACTTTATATGTCACCTGTTCTACCAAAAAGAGATATTTTTTTCATCCTATATTAGTACTCTTCGTGAGGAGTGATATTATTATTAAATTCGAATTTAACTAGCTAAATAATAGTCTTAATAACATGCCAAATCATTTAAGTTTAAGAATAGATGTTGTTCTTGCTAAGGAAACACTTATTTTCAAGTCTCTGATATGTAGTGATGACGTCCTTCTGACTGTTGCTGACGTGGGAAAGGTACCTGCAAGAGGCTCTCCAATACTGAAGTGAGGATTCAGTTTCCTTTTTCTATACGTAGGACCGAATAGTTCCCTATCTAGTACAGATGTGATTAACAGTATATTTGAATTCATATTTAAATTGTTATAAATTTACTTCTACGATGTTTGTTATCTGTTATAAAATATGCACTATTAAAAAGTCTGTTTATACAGACAGATTTACAGACGGATTTTTAGAGCATTACAGACGGTTTTTTCCATTACAGACAGATATAAACCGTCTGTAATATCCTCGTCGGTAAAGAATTACAGACGGATGTAAGTTACAGACGGAAAAATTCGTCTGTAATCCGTCGATGATATATTTTACTATTATTGATATTTTTTTGTTTATATAGATAGTTATTTCCTGCTGTTCTTGATTATCACAATTTATAAACAAAATAGAAACTATAGATTCGGCATCTAAACATTCCAAAATGATTTATAAAATATAAAATTTAAATGTTATTATAAAGGAAGACAAAAAAAATCTAAATAAATACATTTAAAAATAAAATACAAGTCTTCATCAGGAATAATCTGTATGGTCATAATCCGAAGGAGCATCATCATCAATAGAAGAGGAGTCAGTAGAGGAATGATGCATAGAGGTGAAAATTGGTGGTGCTGGAGCTAGTGGAGGAGGAGGAAGAGGTGTTGAGCTGCTTGCTCTCATGAGCTCAAAATAAGCATGCATCTGCTGCATTTGCATATGCTGTTGCATCATCTGCTGTTGGACCTCCCTTTGCATTCTCGACGCCACCTTCTTCTCTATCTTCTTCTCCATTTTCTTTGCCTACTTCTTCTTCCATGCACTTTCTTTGCTCTTCCACATCTCCTCATTCTGCTTCTAGAGTTCTTCATTGAGGGCATGGACCTGAGTGCGGACCATGTCCTCCACATCCTCAGGTGCAAGAGAAGGGGCATCTCCAGTGACAGATGTAGGGGACATGGAGTCTGCAAAGCGGCCCCATGCCATAAATGCGACCTTTATAAAGACCACCCACTGTCTGTGACCACATAGCATCCTCATCTACTGACTCTGGATTCTGAGAAGATGCTTCCTCAAGCCTTTGAATATAGTCATCCTACAGTTCAGTTCAGATAATTAGATATTAGTTTGGAGAACTATTTAATAAGTCGCTAATAATAACATATATTATCAAGAACTATGACTTACATACGTGGCCTGAGATCGTGTATCAACCCACAGGTTTTTGTCCTGCCTGCGAGTGTGTGTCTCCTTAAACAACTCTCCAGTAGTAGGTGGCCTCTTCAACGACTTCTCCTGCAATTGGAAATAAATTATAATCTCAAATATGAAATTATAGATAGAGTAAACTGAATTTTAAAATCACATACCAAGTTCGCCTTAGTGCCAGCCAAAGTCGTAGACCCACCAGTATGCAGTGACCCCCCTTTATTAGATGCCCTGTTTGTCTTGTTCTTTACACAGAGATTTTTAAACTCATTCGTACTCCAATACTCCTGCAAGGCATGAAGAAAGTTGGGTGCTATCCAATCAGCAGTAGAAGGGTCCTAGCGAGCCTCAGTGTACATCTGTCTTAGTCGCTTTGCAGTGCGACTCTTCCAGGCCTTGAAAATCATCTTTTCGTCCTAGGGGGAATGGAAAAGTTGCTCTACAGAAACACAATTTCATTAGAAGAGGTAAAAATAGTTATATGTAATTACACTTAGTTAAAATTAGTACACTATTATTACCTTCCAATCTTTGAACCATTCCATCTTTGTATCATTTGGCACCTTTGCAAAACTTCTGTAAAGCGCATCAAACATCTTCTGTAAGGCACACACCCATCCCATAAAGGCTTATTTGCTGCTTCTAAAACATTATAAAACTTTGCAGCCTCTCTATTAGGTTCTTGTTCAGCTTCAAAATCATGAAAAATTCCAAATTGAGGACCAACAGCATCATAAACCATTTCTTGATAACGACTATTGCTTTCTTCCCAACTTACATTACCTACATGACCACCTGATTGTAATATATTTGAATTACCTACTTGATTTTCTAAATTAACTTCTTCCCCATGCTCAGTCCATATCCAATAATCATGTTTAAATCCAAACTTATACAAATCATATTTAATTGAATCAATATCCAAAAATTTTCTACACTTGCACTTAGAACATGGACACCTAACGACCTGATTGGTGCTGAATTGCTGCGAATTACAACAGACGCGTATAAATTCCTCTACACCCTCAAAGAATTCAGGTTTTATTCCCCCCGACTTGGGTGCAACCTATCATACATCCACTGACGATTTCTGAGATACATCTTCCTCAAGAACTATATAAACCTAATACAAATATACAATGTGGTATCAACCTTCTAAAATACATTACAGAAATTTTTAATATAAATTTTGGCAGAATATCCCCTAATGCATGTTAATTTCCTTACTTTTGTTTACCATTTTTTTACAAAAATGAAAATTTCACCTAAAATCAACTAATAAATTATATAACAATAAATTATTCGATACATCAAACATAAACACATCACAATCCTAAACTGTTCTACAGCACATCTCCTTGTAACTCCACAACATGCATATTCTACAAACTCCACAAACACAAACACTCCCACAACACACAATAATCAGGTTCGGAGAAGGACCTCTACACTCTTCCCTCCCCCCAGTCATACAATCTCTAATCCTACAACTCTATCTTAGAAATTTTAAGTCTCTAAAAAACATAAAAAATTAAAAAACTAAACCGATTAAAAGTTAGAGTATCGTACCAGGAATACAATGATGCAAAAAAAACTTTCAAATGGTTGCTCCAATCACTCGCAATGGCCAAAACACTGAGCTCCTAGAGAGAGAGGGGGGGGAGCGAGAGAGAGAGAGGGTTCTGATAATGGGGGAGGGGAAGAGGAGACGCGATTTTTATGGGTTTCAATCATTACATACGGAAAAATTCGTCTGTAATGGGTTTAATGAAACGGTGCGTTTCAGGTGGCAAATTACAAACGGATTTTTTTGTCTGTAATTTGCCACCTGAAAGGTCGGTTAAAACCGCCATATTTACAGACGGAAAAATTCGTCTGTAATTTTCCGCTATAATATTTCCTCCTATTTTCAAATTACAGACGGAAAAATCTGTCTGTAATTGCTGTCTATAACGTTTGGCGCCAAAAGGCGGGCTAAATACAGACAGATTTTATAGACGGATTAAAATCCGTCTTTTAATCCATCTGTAATACGGACGGATTTACAGACGGATGTTTCAAAAAAAAAAAAATTTCACAAATCCGTCTGTAAAGCCGTCTGTAAAATATGTCTGTATTAAGCACTTTTCTAGTAGTGATAATTCAAAGTTCAAGAAAAATGATAAACAAATTTTTAGATGACATAAAAAGGTTGATAATTTAATTATTTTTTTAATAAATAGTTTAATCCTGTTTTAATTGTATATTATATATGTGTATCAATAGAAGTTGGTTCACAACATACTTTATTTTTCCTTAAGTAAAATATCATATTCAAACTTTGAAAATAAAAAAATAATACAGTACATTTATTGTGTTTATGATAATAATACGTTAAAATTTTATATCACTCATATCACATAATTTAATGAGAATTGAAAAGGTAACAAAAATATTTTCTCTTGATATAAAAACATTGAAATACTTTTAAAGACCATATGTTGAAGAGAATTATTTACTATTTGATTTTATTTATTTTGAATTTTTTATCTTTTTAAAATGAAAATTTGGGTCAAATATTAAAAAAAATACATGATAATTTTTTTACTTAAAAAAATTTGAAAAAGGTATCTTTTAAATTGAGTTAATTTTAGGAACTTTTGCCTTGTTTTTTATACTTTATTTCAAAACTGAAAATAAAAAAAAAAACGCATTATTAAAAAATAATTAAGTTAAAAGTATATTTGATCCTTAAACATTATAATATTTATTTTAATTATTACACTATTTACACCATTAATAAAATATTTGATCCTCAAATGAAAAATAATAAGAATTTAAAGTTAACCTAAAAGGCTGAAATAATAAATACCTAAAAGCATACTTTTCTCTAAAATAATTTAAAAAACTAATATTTTTTCGTGCACCACATAGATATTATTAAATGATTTTGTTAAAAATAAAAAAATATAGTATATTATATTTTTATTTAATATATTTTATAATTTTTTAAAATATAAATACTATAATTATTAATATTAAGTATACTATTGTATTAAGTAAAATTAAAAATATTATAAAAGCAAAAATTTAAAGTAATATCGAATTAATATTATATATATATATATATATATATATATATATAACCGCATGATAAAAAAATCTAATCCTTACAAATTCTCTTATTTTCAGAATACATGTTTAAAAATATTCTTACAAATAATCTTATTCAATACTTAATATTCACAAATTATATAAAAAATGGTATATACAATTATATAAATTTGTCTTTTATGTATGTATGTTACATTCTAATTTTATCATATAATTTTAATTTAATAAATTATCTTCATGCCTTTCAATAACAACTGTAAGTTAAAAATTACTTTTTCAATTTTAAACTTAGTAAATTTGTCATGTTTATTTTTTTTTTATTTTTTTTTGTTTTGGAACATAGCTGTAGAGTATATTTAAAAAGTCATTTTAGTTAGTTTATAATTTATTTGATTATTTTATAAGCTTATTTTACCAAATTAGTATATAACTTGTCATATTCTCTTGAAATTCTATTGTTATATCTTATAAATTTCTTTAAACTTTTACTATTTTTTAAGCTTTTAAAATCAATTATATCTCAATCCATCACAAATCCTAAATGATAGACTAAAAAAACAATAATTTAAAAGTTTTAAATAAAAAATAATAACAGGACCAAATTTATTTCAATCTAAAAACAAAAAGAAGTTATTTAATTTGAAAAATAAATAAAGGACAAAAATCATATATTAATAAATAAAAAATACAATTAAACTAAATATTAAGATACAAGAGAGTAAATGTCAATTAACAAAAACAAACAAATCATAGTAGTAATAAGTAAGGATTTAAAGCACAATTATCTCAATAATTAGATAGCAAAAATATATTTTAATAAGTAATACCAAAAATTCATAACATTGTCCAATATAGTATTAGAAGTTATAAATAATAAGAAAGTAATTCTCTTCTCAATTATACTAATCAAACATGGATGATACTAACCCCACGCAAAATATCTCTCAGAAGAAACATTAAACAAGTAATACATTATTTATAAAGACAAAAAAAACAAGTAGTTGCGGCTCATATAGTCAAGATTGATCACCAAAATCAAGAAGTAGAAAATTTTCTCCCACCATGCCATTACAAAAGTTTTCTTACACACGACATCTCTTACAAACGTCGTATAAACACCACAAAATTTCCTTTAACTACAAAGCCTTCAAGTCTCCTACATCACTTAGCAACAATCTCACCTCACCACTCTCATTCCCATACTCCTAAAATGGACAAAACCCATAAATCAATCAAAGAAATAATACAAATGAGGAGGCTTCTTTGAAGTGAGCACAAAAATGCATGATTTGTTTAGCTTTATTTATCGATACATGAATGAATGTTGATCTTATAGGAAATAATGAAGCACAACTTATTTCATGTGGGATAACAAGGAATTTCAATTAGATGGAATGAGAGAAAATTTAGAAAACATCAAATTCGATTAGCATTTGGCACTTCCAACTCAGACAAACAACATTGGTATCCGCTGGAACTAAAGAGATTAACTTTAAATACTGTCAGTATAAGAAATATGAGTACATTTTCTTAGTAATACAATAGAAATCCTTTAAAAATAAAGAGATTAATAAATTGACGACTCATTGTTTAACAAATAAGACAGAGGCGGTTAATTAATGGGTTAAATCAAGTGACTTAATCATGTTGTGGAGAATAAAAAGGTGATGCAGCTCCTTTGCCATTGGATTGATGCAATGACGATGTTTAGTGACCATACACTACACGTGGGTTGGTTTCCTCCAAGGCCCTACCTACGTCAATAAAATTACATGACTGGTTCTCAATGCATGACTAAGAAACGGTTCTAGTTTCATGCACATTGTGGTGGGCTCACACCAAATATTTTGACTAGACGTCTACACTGTTCTTGGCAACGTCAATGCCCACTATATATTCCACAGTGTTCTTTTGTGAAAATTCTTACTGTTATCTTTGCTTATTTTATTCTATTAAGCAGTAGTTGATAAAACCAATTAATGCCCTCATATAAAAAATAAAAACTAAACTGAGTTGCACTGTCATAAATTCTATTAGTGTTGTTTTTCAATTAAAATTGAAGCTTCACTTTAATAATGTGTCAACCTTTAATGCCAATATATTAGTGTTTTAATGTCGACTTTTATTATACAAATTATCAAAGTAAAATTATAATTTTAACAAGAGAATAACACTAATTTTGTCCCTAAAACAACTAACGCAAATTGGCTAGCCTAAGCATTATCACATATCTGAGAAACAAATGAGATAGTAAAATGCAATACTAGAGAGAGACTTGCACCAATCCACAAGGCATAACTTAAAAATACACTTAAACTCAGGTTCTCAAGCAAGTGCAATCTACGTGTTCGAACCTGCGAGAAAGTACTTAAAGGAGAACTGTATAGTCAAGCATTAAGACAATGACCATTGCTAATAACATTTACCTTTTTGCTTCAGTATTACGGTCCAGTTTAAATGAATTTCTCAACAAATTACAAAAGAAGAAAATTAAAAAAAAAAAGATAAATTAAACTTCTTTCATAAATCAAAATCAACTTATATACATAAGATTTTGGAAAAGTTAGATGAAAAAGCTTTAAAACTAGTTTATGTACATTAGTTAACTTATGGAAACATTTTGATTTATTTCACCTTTTTATTTTGTTCTTGTACAAGTACTTACTGAGTAAATTCCCTAAACTGGACCTATATATATGTTACAAATGATAAAAAAAATTATAACAGCATAATTACCTTGACGTAGAATAATTAATTTTCTATAACAAGCCACATGGTTATGAAACAAGTCAAAGAACTATAACAAGCTTTTCAGCATTACTGAAATATTCTCTGTACAAGAATGCAAGCTAAAAAACTTATTCAAATAAGCCAAGAAAAGCATCAGTGCTGCAATACCTCCAGTTAGGTGCACGAGTCTGGAAAGTGATTAAGCTTCATGAACAGACTGTATACACAACTGACTAAAAGCTAAAGAAGAGCAAGTGAGGGACCTAATACCGATGTCATTATATCCCTAAAGCAAAATTTGGGACATTGGTGAAGGCATGCAAGCGATTTCAGAAATTGGGAAAGAGTATCAAGCCCTTGGATAGCGTGAGCGTCCTTTCTTCTTTAGGAATTCAGGTATCTCAAACAAGCTACCATCAGTGAAAGAGGATGATCGCCGATTGATGCTACTGATTGTATCTACCTGTGTGAGTTGACTGGCCTGTGTTCACAATAAAAACCAGAATTATGGTTATGCATGACAGGAACAGAGGGAGGGAGGGAGAGAGTGTTGAGCCATACTTGTAGGGGTCTCCCTTCACTTTCCTCTTGACGCTTGAATCCAGTTGCAATTAATGTTATGCTCACCTGTATGAAACAGAATTTCATGGTTCAGCACATTCATCATACTATATATATTCAAATAATTAAACTAACTTTGAGAAATGGTCATTTGCAGAGCATCCAACCTCAAGTAACAGCAAGCAACACAAAATATCACCGGACAAGTTCACCATACGTGAGAAAAAAATACTATTATGAGCTTGTTATAAGAAATGAGCATTTGAGTTACAGAATTGACTTACAAAGGACAGGATCCCAAATCCAACAAAATGATACTGATATGAACATACTGTAATGTCTTACAGTATGAACATTAAGGGTCAGTTGAAGTTAGTTCTCCTCCTAATTATGAACATTAAAGGGTCCTAAACCTAAAATTGAATTTTCCAAAATTATTAATCTTTTCTACAACTGACATCTAACATATTAATAATATTCATTATTTTACGTTAGGAGAATATAGCATATCTTGAACTTTTATTATTCTCTAACCTCTTGCCACAAAAAGAAAAACACTATTCTTATTTAATGTATTTAACAACATGGTTGTTATTGTGATTAATCTTGATCCACTAATACACAAGCCATACATTATTTTTAGTTCACTATTTTTAGTCAATTGTGTTAGGTGATGTTTTTAAAGCTAATACTCATTCATTTAGCAAAATTGATCCAAGATAATGAAAGGATTATACTAAAGTTTTAGAAATTCAAATTAGTTGCCATCTAGTCTCAATACAAAGACAACATACGGTGCAGCCATTTTAAAATCTGTTATGAATTGCTGATGGTTAGCATATGCCCATTGCATTCTGCTGACTTCTCAATCCAAGAACAATACTGTATATCTTCTGCTTCTCCTAGGAATAATACATAGGAGTGGAGTATGTTGTGCAATTCATTTCTAGTGAAACCACTGCATATCTTGTGCAACTTCATATAATTATTGTTAAAGATTTGTGTAGTTTAACTTACTTGACCACTGAGTGAAGGATCTATTACTGCTCCAAATATTAAATTAGCTGTTGGGTCCACTAGGTCATATATAACCTCTGCTGCAGCATTTACCTGCAAACGATTATATTAAAGCTATAGCATACAAAAGGGTATCATACAAAGCAATTCCAAACACACAAGAGAATGATGAATTACATAGGTAGCACACCATGAATGCCAGGTATTCCTCAACCAAGTATTGGCTCAATAAAAAATCCAAGTCACAAAATAAATAATGGAAAAGCAAAACTATGGAACTACAATAACAAGATAGGTGGATTATCTTTTAACAAAGGAATTTAGAAGCATCAGATTATGCTCTCTCAACTAAGTATCATATCCATGGGGAACTGATAGAAATCACAATCTAAATTATGCAAAACACTATTCCAATGGAATATGCCACTGCTGAAAAAAAACATTAATAATAAATAACAACAATAATTAAAGCAAATAGAAGAGGAAACAAGATTATGGGTACAGTTAAAACAAATAAAAGAGCCAGAGACATAGGAAGCGACCTCAAACAAGGTCAGATCACTCCCGCCAGTGATGTTCCATACAATTCCAGTAGCCCTCTCTATACCAATATCCAATAAAGGTGACTGGATAGCATTTAATGCAGCATCTCTTGCCCTGGTTTTTCCTTAAACACAAAAATAAGCCACACAATAAATGTCAATAATATATGTAGGCCAAAAATTAGAATGCGCTCAAAATTCTGAATTAGAACAATGACAAAAAGGATCCTTAATCAAAATATGAATTTACAATTTATTACCAAAAAGAAAAAAACAAAAAGTGGTGTAGAAGAGAGAAAAAAAATTGTATTATGTGAACCATTAAAGCATACTGTCAGGAACATCTTCAGAGTACTTCAGCATATATTAACATATATTCAGAATATATTTGTAATATCATAAATATCTTTAATACATATTGTGGAATCAATTAGCCATCTAATTATGGAAGCAACCTTAGGAGTTGTTTCTTGATTTATTTCCACATTTATTTAGGATAGGTAATCTTATTTTATTAGTGGCATGTGCTACACTCATACTTGACCTGAGTATAAGTAGGATCACTGGCTTAGTATTTTGTATCATACGCTTACACACCATATCAATCTAATAAAATATTATTCAGAGTTTCTATTCTTTCTTTTTGTTATGAAAGTGAGACCAATATTATTGAGTGAAAGGAAAATAGAGAAAAACAACGGAAAGAGCAAATTGCTCCCAGCAAAGGAGGATGCTCCTTTCCCAAGCCCAAGGCTTACAATACGTCAAAATCAAAATTTCCCCTCCTCACAAGGAGGTTCTGCAATATTTACACCTGATTCTCTTTTCTCTCTCCTCAACCCCAGTTCGTCATACCTTTACTAACTAACTCACGTTCTGCTCAATAGCCTTAGCTGACTTGGCTTTTCAGGAATATACTAGTAGGGTCTTAGTTTTGGGCTTATCCCACCATGACTCAACATTCCTATCACTTTTCTCCTCCCTATCCAAAACCTTGTAATTTCAACACATACTATCCATCTGTATGCTTATCAGAATTTTTAAGTGTAGCATGACTCATAAGGGGAGGACTTAACAGGGCAGCAAGGCACTTACACCCTTCAAATTTCTTTGTTTGATATATAAAATATTAGTTACGAGGCAATGCCAGCTATGCCTCAAAACCCACCCTGGTTGTATAAATCCTTTCCTTTTTAGGACATGCATTCTGGTAAGCCAATATGTACAACTGTCCAACATATAGAGTTCTAGTATCACACTACCATCTGCATGTTATACAATTGGTTTTTGTATCCAAAACAAAGGATCTAGAACTCCTTCAGAATCCAATATTTGAATTATTATATAATTGAGTCAAAAGAAGGTCAAGACTTGAAGGCTACATTTGCAGTTTCCATACATACCAGTTGCAGTTCCTATCCCCATTAGTGAAGAACCTGCATTGGCCATTATAGCTCGAACGTCGGCAAAATCTACATTCACCAAACCTGGTATCTGCAATAAATTAGTAAAATCAATGAGCATTAATGATTTTACAGAAAGATCCCATCAACTCTAAACCATGGGCAGCAAATCAATAATATATAATCCGGATATCTTACTAGGGGATATCATATGTTTTATCCACATGCATTGAATATTGATATTGATATTGATAAACAAACTAAATGATATCACATAAAAACCAAAGAGAACTCTAGATTCTAGAATCTAGATTATCAGGGTTATAACAATTTTGAATCAACATGTCAAACAACTTTATTCCCCATAGCCACTACAGGCTATTACAGACAAGGAAACACAAACTTCGAAATAGATGTCATGTCATGTCATACTTGTGGCAAACATATGTCTATGTCAGACACTTTATGAGCAATTAGAATACTCCTATTTGCATTTTACATTTTTTCTTATTTTTCTTTTTTAAACTGTGATACCGATAAAAATCAAAATATCACATTAATTAGATATATTTTAGTATTTTATTATGTCTACAATGATGAATGCTCATTTTAAAACATCAATTCTCTCATTGATTTAAGATAAATGTTATGTATTAATTTTATATGTTGTATTATAGCCGTACCTTGTACTATGATTTCTAAAATTTGCATTCCCATGTCCGGGCCATATCATATCCATCTCTAATATAATATTTGTGCCTTTGAGATTACAATACAAAACAATATCAGTGCAACACACTTACAGGTAATAAAGTTCCCTTTTCATTCATCATTTTGCCTTTACTCCTTTTCGATCAACTTTTGATAGGGACAAAAAAGTGCATGAACAACAGGAATCATGTGTTAATGTTCAAAGATCACTAACAATATTTCATACCGTAATAATATCTGATATGCCACGAACTCCCTGTCGAAGAATATCATCAGCCAGATTGAATGCTTCCGTTACAGGGGTCGATTGAGAAACTGCTGTTAGTAGCTTGTCATTTGGAATAACTATAAGGGTGTCAACATTATCTCTTAAGGCTGTAATTCCCTCTTGAGCTTGAATAGCTCTCTTTCTTCCTTCAAACGAGAAAGGAGTGGTGACAATACCAACTGTCAGTATTCCCATTGACTTTGCAATACCAGCAATAATGGGAGCCCCACCCGTGCCTGTACCGCCACCCATTCCAGCCTGCAAAAGATAATTTCAATCTCCATGTTTAGCAAAATATACCAACAAAGAATAATTTAAAAGAGTTAAATAAAAGCACATCTGTTCCAGATTTTGAAAAATTTACAATTTGAAGGTTTCAAATATCCTTATATCTCAAATGGGAACTTAATAGCAAAACCCAGAATGGTAAATACTTTAATTTTATATTTTCTGATAACTTCCGTCCCATAATTAGAAAAGAAATATTTCAAACAAGCAAATTTGTAATTGATATCACAGTGTACTAAACCAAATTAACTTCAACATTATAATAATAACAAATTTTTTTATTAAGAGCGTCTTTTTGCCTTTGACTATCTCGGTCCTATTGTATTATGAGTTATTAACTCATAAACAAATTGTTAGATATAGAAATCATTAGTAAGTCTTCACTTCACAGCTTAAGCTAACATCACCTCTATGACAGTTGTCAAGTGTTCAATCCTTGCCACCTTGCTTCAAGCTCAGAGTAACTCTCACATGAGAAGACTTTTATTAGATAAAAAAATCACTCACGTACCTTCCTTGAACAGGTTAAGCATATATATTTTGATATAATTGAGCATGTAAATCGTGTCTAATGGAGTAACATTTAGCCCAGAACTAAAATTAAAATTTATAGTGCAAAATTATAAGTTAATTTGCAGAAGTTATAATAATTGGATAAAAGTAGTTGAACCTACGGTAACAAAAACCATATCAGCTCCATAGACTGCCTCTTCTATCGACTCCTTGCTTTCTTTTGCAGCATTCATTCCGGTCTCAGGGTTACCACCAGCGCCAAGACCTCGTGTAAGCTCTTGACCAATTTGCAAACGATTCTCAGGAAAGACAGGCGACATTCTCATGGCTTGAACATCAGTATTAACAATCCAAAACTCTACGCCGTGCATCGAACTCTCTATCATGCGATTGACTGCATTTGACCCACCACCTCCAACACCAATAACTTTGATCTTTGCTTCATTGTAATTACTTTGAATAGGATCAGCTCCTAAGCTCTCAGATAAATCCCCACCCGAACTATCCTTTCTCGGGCTGTTCACTGTACTGCTCCCTTCTCCTCTAAGCATTGACACCTCAGGATGTAAATCCAGAAAAGGGTCTTGGCTATGATATCGACTGACACTGTGGGAATTGGCAGAACACTTAACTTGAAGTAAACCCGATTTTTTTATTCCTCTGGAAAATCCAATCTTACGGTCATACATTTTCATTGAACAAGCTCTCCCAAGGTAATTCTCTGGCAATTTTCTTCCTCCATTAACAGAGAGCACCCTTGCTGAATTCCTAGTACTACAAGGTGCAAAATATGTTGACACACAAGTTGCCATTTCGATTTTTATGGTATCCAAACTTCAAAGTTGGGATATATAGGTAAATGTATGGAGGAAATGTAGAGGCCTAAAAGATTCAAACTTTCAATTTACCCAGAATTCTTTCTTCCAATACCTGTTTAATTAAAAAATAAAAAAGTGCAAAAAAATGTTACACTATCATGTCATTCATGAGAATGATAATAAAAGGGGGAACAGACAAAATGGAAATTATTGAATTACCACAAAGTAAAGCTAGTTACTAGGAATCACAACACCAACAATGCGCAAGCTCAGTGAGATGATTTGATGAAAAGAGCATGTGCAGAAAATCGTAATGAAGAAGAAAGTGGCGAACAATAGAGCAAAGAAGAAAAGAAGGATAATTGGTGAGAGAGAGAAACCTGAGAAAGTTGAAGAAGAGCGAAATAGGGAATATGGGGGAAGCATTTGGGTGGGGAATCCAAATGGGAAATGGTGAGAGCTAACAAAGGTGTTTTTCAGTGTTAACCACTAAGCAGCCACCGCCCTTCGCTGTTGTCCTCGATAATTCATTTCTTTGCACGACATTATCGTCTTTTTGGCTATGTCTAGACGAGTTAAATTGGATACAATCAAATAGAATGAATTTAAATAGAATGGAAAGAAAAATACTGAAATAAATATTTTTATTTTAAATTTTATTTATATATATAAATAAATAATAATAATTTTTCTTGTAATAAAGTAAAAAAATTAATATATTTTATTGTTTAAATATATTATGATAAATTTTTACTTTTATTATTTGGATAATAATGATTTTCAGTGTATTGAAATTAAATTTTAAAAAATTTATTTTAATGGCTGTAGGCCCGTTTAATAGAAAAAATAATAATTTATTCATATACATATTTAATACCTTTGCCGACAAGATAAACAAATCTACCACGTTTTAAGAACTTTCAAATAAATTTATATTTGAAAAACAAAATGGTAAAGTTGGGATATGTTTGAATTGGCAGAATATAAAATAGAATGAAATAAATGTAAATGGAATAAAGTAGAATAAAAAATAATAGAGAAAACATTTCATTTCATTACTTAAATATTTTATCATGGAATAGAACAATATTTTATTTTATTATTTGAACATTGAACAAAGTAAAAATGAATTATAATTTTATTATTCTTAGAATATATTCACTTTAAAGACACGCATCTCTAATTTAATCTTTATACTATAATATATTATAATTTGAACAAATAATGGTTACGAAATGAAAAATAATTATAAGTATATTAATTAAATTAAAATCCTCCATATAAAACTTAAACAATAATATTTATAAAAAATAAAAAAAACTATTTTTTGCAGACTCGTTAAGGACTTAACACAAAAATCAGTTTTTTTTTTTGTTTTGGGTCAAAGGCAAAAAGTCGTTTTCAATCCAATACAAATCGACCGTTAGAATGGGCTAGAATTAGGTTGGGTTCATACCATGGATTAAAAAGCTTACTTAACAAAAAATACTCAAATTTATTTTTCACCTTTTTTTATACACACCACCCTTATTTAAAAAATATATAATTCCAAAAACACTCCTATATAGCTTTCTAAAACTTAATTGTAAATTACCTAAAAATAAAAGAAAACTCAATTGTATAAATTATTCGACCTAAAAACAATTGTAGAAGTTATTAAAACAAACTTGAACAATAACTTTTGTAATTAAATTTTTAAAATATTATTTCATGAATTGTAAATCGTTTGAAAAATAAATTTTAAAAATATTACCACGTTTCTAACAATAACTTTTAAATCGTTAGAAATAATAGCTTAACAATAATTCAAACAAAAAGAATCAAAATCACTACTTAAATCATCTTCCAACAAACAAAAAAAGAAATTGAAGTTGATGAGTGAGACTAAAAACTTGAATAAATAAGAGAAGAATAACAAATGAAAAACTCTTAAGAAATTTGCCAATATATAAATAAAAAGCTCTCATAATAGAAAAAAGAAACACCCATGAAAAATGAAGAGGAGCTTTCATGAAGGAGAGTCCCACTTAAAACGGTTGTCTTTACATTATAAAGCAACCAAGCAATGATTGGGCCAAAAGAGAGTTAATGGAATCATTCATGAACATTGCTAAGTTTACTTATACAATACTTGGGTACGATCATTTAAGTGATGAATATTTTAATTTGGTTTTTGTTTTACCCTCTTTCATGAACATGCCAAGTAATTAATTCGGTAATAATAATTAGCAATGCAACGAATCCTAAAGCTTCTATAAACCGCACTAAATATCGATGATTATTTAATTTTGTTTAAATACATTTATTTTTCATTACTAATGGTAACTTCTACATTAAAATCACTACTTTGACAATGTCTGTACAAGAAACTACAATAATACAGACAAGTATTATTTTATATATTTTGACATTGAAAATGTCATCAATAAACAACTATATAAATCTAATATAATTGACTAACTAGATACTCATTTGAAAAACAGTCACCTAATCCTTGATTGATCACGAACGAACTTCAGTAGTTCGGTTCTGAAAATGAAATTCACAACTCGTCTTGTGCATTAATAATCAATTTAATTGATTTTGGCATTAGTGAGTTTTTCCGTTTTCTGCTTCTGTTTCATGGAGTCTTGTTCATGTAAAGAGTACACACAAGAACGAAAACGGATGCACACGTACATTGTTTGCTCATAAAGGGCAACTTAGGTTCCTTCTCAATGATCTTAATTTCCTTTTGGCTTTCTGAGTGTTGGCTTGGACTCTCCCGTTCCCTTCCTCTGAACACTGCAAAATGTGAACACAAAATTAAATCAGAATTTAAACGTGCTTTCAAATTATTTGGTTTATAAATAACAAGTAAAAACAAAGTATAAAAGATAAATAAATTAAAAAATATGAGACTACAGCAAATAAAATAATAACATTAAGCTGCATATTACTATATGCAATTTGCTTGTTGTCCGTGCATAGCCCTATATATAAATATTAAATAAATAATTTTCATATTGAATTATTCTTATGGTTATGAAATTTTTTAAGAATTTTTGGTAATATTAATCTTGAGAACTGAGAATAAACAGATAATAATAGTAAAATTTTATTAAAAAATATTTTTTGTATTTTTATAACTTTAATATAATAATTATGTATTTTTTTAAAATAAAAACCTACAATTAAATTTATCCTAATTAAGATGAATAAATGTTTGTGATTAGCATTAGTTACCTGTTGTTTTCTTCTCCTCTCAAGCTCGGCCTAGAGAAAGCCACGATCCATGTCAGAAATTAAAGTACTATATGTATAAGAGTGGTACAATAATAAATAAAAACTAAATATTAGTTGGCATACCATTGCTAATTTTAGTTGCGCGTTCTCTTCTTTTAATTGGTTCAATTCTGCTTCTAATTCAACCGTGTATGCCTGCCAAGGAAAAAGTAGAAAAGGTTAAGTAACACCCATGAAGGTCATTCAAAACATTTTGTCAAATATTGTTACAAAGATTATGGAATCTAGTTATTTATTAAAGGGTGGTGTTGTTAGATAATCAAAAAGCAAAATGCATATATACATTTGTTATAGTATTTAGAGTGCGTTTAGATTCTTACTTATTTAAATTTTATTTAATAAACTATCTTTAAAGCTCTAATTTTAGAGTTTTCTTTCTCTTCCACTTATTTTTTTCTTGCATGTAATGTTTGATATCATATAGCTTCTGTGAAGAATATCTATAGGCAATATTCACGAAAAAAGGTTTAGAATTTATCATCCCTCTAGTGCAATTCCATTCTTTTTGTTTTAATTTAGAGGCAAGTTCTTTAAGGAAGAAATAACCAAGCTCTTAAGTGATCCTTACAATAATGTAATCAATAATACATGCATAATAATGGTTTGCGGACAACCGGGTGAATGTCACAGTAAAGGACACTGCCCACTGTTTAGCATTTGATGTGACATAAAGAAAAATAAAAAGCATAAACAAGTAAGATAAATATAAATATACAATATTCAAAATAGATTCAAATAAAATAAATAAATATGCCTAATGTATTTCCTTTGCCTTTCTCCCCACCCTAATAACAAGGTTATTGATTAACAAATATGTTATTCTCACCTTTCTTTAAGCTACCCGTTATACCCTCTCTTTAAAATGAGGAGGAAGAGACTCCTTTCTATCGAGTAAAGAATAAAGCAAACAAATACAATAATGGGAAAATATATAAGTGTTGTTAGTTAACCTGTTGCTACAAGTTTTGCAAACCACTTTTTCACTTGAATAATGCTATTTTATGTTTACAACAAGGAGAAACCAGAAGAGAAAAGAGAAACAAAATGAAGAACAATATAATTGATTATCGTAGATTATTCTTATTCTCACTCTTCCTTCTCATATATATTGCCACCAAATTATCAATTATGCAGTAACGATCCAAGTGAAGACCTCAGTGCACCTCGTAGGCATGCAAACAAATGCACTTAATGACACTCATTTATTGACAATTTGACATCTCTACATACCAAGCTACTTAGCAAGAAAAATTAAGGGGCTGATTGTTTTAAAAATTGTTTTTTTTTTTAAATTACAATAGTATCATTTTATTTTTATTCTATTTTTGTTTCCAAATATCTGTACAGAAAATAAAAAAAAAGGATAATTTTTAATATTTTTTATACAAATCTTTAAAAAAACAAAAAATATCTTCAAAAACCATCTATGTGTATTTTGTGAGAACCATAACTTGACTAGATTTTATGACTAATTAATTACTAGCTGAGCTGGGGCTTCCCCTTACAAGCTTTACATTTTAAATAAATATATTTAAAATTAATATTTATTTAAAATAAAAAATAAAAATTGATATAATATCATAATTTTAATATATTAATTAAGTATTAATAATTATAAATTATATATAATTATTTTAATTTAAAATTAAAAAATAGTTCCTCCCTCATTTCTCCTCCAAAATCTCAAAATCTTCCAAAGGCTCTACTCCTATGCTTCTAATTTGTGGGGCAAAAAATGAAAATTTAATCCCCGCGCCTTTGTGTAGGAGAAAAGAGAAAAGAAAGATAGCAAAACCTATCATAGTGGCCTCTATCTAGAGCAATGACTTAATCAATACAAGCTGCAAAGCACATTGCACATTAATCTCTAAAAGCAGATAAGCAACAAGGGTATTCCATAAGATGTTAAATCATTGAGAAACACTAGGAATACTCTATTATTATTATTATTAGAATTTATTAAAAATCTCAAATTTTTTAATTTCTTGAATTTTACTTATACTCTAATATTTTTTTAAAAATTTCAGTCGATAATTAAAAAAATTCCTAACACTCTTTGAATCAACGACAAATGCACTCTCAGATAAAAAAAGATACCTGCTTCCTTGCTCTAGATCTGGCCGCTGATTCTCTGTTCTTGATCATCCTCCTCTGCCTTCTCTCCACCACCTTCTCCACAGGACCATCTAGACCCCTCTTTCTCCCTCTCAACACACCCATCTCCATCCCAAATTGCCCGCCAGAATTCTCACCCGTACCTATCCCATCCGGCGAAACCGGGCTCACCGGCGCCGCCATTGCCGCATAACCACCCCCTCCATTCACCACCCTCCCACCAAAGCAAACCCCCGGCGGCGCCGGGTACCCGCCGTCCCTTTTTCCATTTCCAGCATACCCATGAGACTCTCCCAATGCGCCACTACCACCCTGAGCCATTGCCTGAAAAGGCGACGGCACAACAACATTTCCACAGCCGCCGCCGCCTCCAATTCCCATTATAGGCCTAGCAACAAAAGAAGGAGACATTGTAGGGTTGTTATTAGCATACATGCCAAACTGCTGAAAATTCTGATGTGAAGCATGGATGGGCATTGCACACTGTTCCCGAACTACCCCTGCTTTAATCAAGAAATCCTCCAGAGTCATCTCTCCAAAAGTAGGTTGGCGAGGGGCAGATTCGGTATTTTGCGGATTGTTGTTATTACCGCCAGTGACTCTATTATTGTTATTAGTGCCACTGTTCTGATTCTGCTGCTGCTGTTGCTGTTGTTGACATTGTTGTCCTTTGTGTATCTCAGACCAAACCTCGTCCACTGTTTTCCTACACAAAGGTGCAGGAATCGTTAGTGACCCTTGACGAGGAAGACTTGGCTGTTTCCTTATTATACCTTTCTCTGTTAAGGTTTCGCTTAGAGGCAAGTTGTTGGCGTTGTTGGAAGAGTTGTTTATGGCTTGGTTCTGGTTCTCTTCGGCGTTCCATATGCTGCTGAGGAACTCGTCCATGTTCATGGACCCGAAATTCTTGCCACTTTCGCATAGTGTGTGTTGGAACTCGTCGAGGGTGAGGGAGTATATTGAGGATTGTCTTCCCAGTGATGAGAATTGATGGTTCTTGTTGTTGTGTAGTTGATCGGATTGTAAGGAAGATTCTACCTCGTTTTGAGAGTTCATCTCTGATTCTGGCACCACCATTTTCTTCTTCTTTAACCTAGTGCTGCAAAATGGAACAAATGTTAAAATGGGTGTTGTCAAACGCAAACTCAATTACTCAAGTGGGGTTCGTTTTATTTGCAGAGGTTTGTGAAAAGGGGAAGGGGAGAGAAAAGATGAATGGATTGATGAGAAGTTTTATGAGGGTGATCTTTGTGACGGTGAATTCATGAGTTATTCCTCCAAGTCAATAAAGCTACCACTTTTGATTTTATGTAACTTTATTTCGATGTTTACATAATACTTTATTCTTTGTCTATTTTTGTTTTTTAATAAAGAAGCAAAAGTAAAAAAATAAACGTGGTTAATTTTAATTTTTAAGATTGAGTTTATTATATTAAAAATAATATTTTTTTATTAAAAACATATTAAAATTTATTTTACCTATACCATTATACATAAATATACTTTTTAAAATTAAAATTATCTAAAAAGAAGGTATGAATTCCACTTTTTTTTATTTCAATAATTTTACTTTTTTTCATTTTAATTTTTACTTAAATTTTAAAAATAAAAAATTATAACTTAATTTTTATTATTTTATATAAATTTTTTAAATGTTTCGTAAATTTTATAATTATATTTATAAAAATTATTACTTTATATATATTTTCTTACAAATATATTTATTTATATATAAAATTTTTAATACTTAATATATTATTTTTATTATTTTAAAATAAATTGTATCTTAAAATTTTTATAATTTAGTTAAATTTTAATTATTTTAAGTTAAAATAAATTTTAAAATAAGTTAATGTTTTAAATAATTTAATTGTATATATAATTATCTATAAAAATTTAATTTTAAATATTAAATTATATATATTTATTTTAAAATATAAAAAAAAAACATGTACATTGCTATTGACTATTATTTGTGTATGTGTAACGTATTTAGTGAAACCTTTTCTTACTAACATTTGAGTATACGGGTATCGTATTTTCATTTAGGGAAAATACCTTTGCTGTGAAAGTAAAATAAACAAAATTTAATTATTAAATTTTATAATACACACTCAAAATTAAGTGATTATATAATTAAATGTTTCTCTCACTAAATAAATAAAAATAATAATTTAATATACGTTTGTGTGTATACTTTTTTACCTTTTAGTTTTATGGTTACACAAATAAAAAGATATTTCTCTAATTTTTCTTTGTTTTCTTTATTTTTTCTTCCTGTATGTGTTTAAGAAGATTATCTATATATAAATTAGCTTTGTTTTTTTTATTACTCAAGCAGTAATTACCAGTTATTTAATATTCTTTTTTTCCCTATCACATTAATTATTACATTATTTATCATATTTATTTAATTCTACTATTTTTTTATCACTAAAAAGGGTATCTATTAATTATTTTCCTGTTTGTTAAATGTAGGAATACACATCAATAAGAAAAGGCTGCCATTGTTTTAAAAATTCTTATTTTGTTCGTTGTCTTGTTTATGACATAAATCCAAGAAAAGCAAATATAAGATGCCAACATTTGAAATTGTGAGCTGCTTAAAGACAACTGAACCATTTTCTTTCTGTCACGCACGCGCGAGAACACAAGCACTAGATGCCTTAGTAGTGACAACTGTTGAAATAAGTATTAGTTATTGACAATTTTTACGTTAATTGATTTTATGAGGATAATTTTATACTTTACAGTTACTCTCAAATTCTTTTCTTCTGGATTTCCTGTGGTAATATATCATACATTATTACGTATCAAAACTGCACTGCATTCTGATCACCAACATCAACGATTAATGGGGGGGAAATCTTTGAAATAAAATATATAAAACTTCTATGAATTTGATTTGGAGATTTATGATCAACTCCTTTTTTTCTTGTCGGATTTAACGAAGTATTTGAAAATATTTCATGTATTATTTAATATTATCTAAACTAGATCGAGATATATACGTTGATCTTGATTCTTGTTTCCACTGAAGAGAAATTCCTTCTCTCCACTGAAACCCACTTACAAAATCAAGAATGTTATCAGAATCGACTAGCACGGAAAGTTGAAAACTGCACCACTACCCTCTGTCAATAAATATCGAAGCAACCACCGGTTTTATTGGCATACCGAGAAGTGCAGTGGGTATGGACCTCCATAACCATTAATATTATGCCAAATAAAGCCGTAAAAATATAAAGTTTATCACCAACATGCTTGATTTCCCTATGCTATAGCTGATTGCTATAAGGGGAAATTTCACTCTTTATTCACGTGCTTACAAAAATTATATAATGTTAATCAAATAATAAATAATTAAAAAAGATATAATCCCTTTATAAATATCAAATTCACATTTCCTATTACGGAATATTTAGTGGGCAGGAGTTGGATGTCGGATATCAAAAAAGTAAGAATCGTTTTCGAGTTAGGTATGGAAAACACATTAGTGGCTCAAAATTTATATATAAACAAAACATGTTTAAAAAATAATATAAAATGAAAGGGAGCACCCGAAAGGAGAAGAACTTACCGAAGGACGAGATTATCGTATAACAAACCACAGCTACTACCAAATCCTAATGCTGGCTTGAATATTCCAAATAAAAAAAATTAACCAAAACGATCAGCTACCAGCTTAAGGACCAAACATGCACCTTATGCCTTTGTTAAATATATATCTCATCAAAACCAAAAGATAGAAGGAACCAAGATGGAAACCACAGGATGGGCACGTATGTATAATTACATTAAATAATAACAAAGTACAGAGAAAGAGATACCTGAGTGAAAACTCTATGTTCAGCACAAATGCTTGTGATAGATCAAGCGGAACACGTTCCTTAATTTTGTAGAACTTATTTATAAGACTTCAAATGAGGGCGAGGAAGTGGAAATACGAGTTATGTTTTGAGTGTTCAAAAGTGGCAACACTTAAACACTTTGTTATAACATCAAAGACAAACTCACAAAGGGCTATAACTATATAACAAAAAACATGGCGTTATTATACAATAAAAAAGATGTTAAATGCCGCAACATATTATATACAAGTCGAATTCAGACTGTCCCATGTAGAGAGCAAAAAATCAAAGACTTCCTTAGCCGGATAGCACTTCTCGCCACGTTAAGGACAGGTGTCTCTTGTACAACCTCGTTTTGGTGCAGTCACTGCTTTGAGCACAACACGTATACCCTTTAATTTGTTTGCAATCTCTATTTTATTTTTATTTTCTTCCAAAAGCTTTAGTGTAAAGGCTTGATTGTGAGGTATCTGATACTACGACAAACCACGAAAAGGATCTATTTGTGATGAACAACAATACCTCGATAGTTGTGATTCATGAATCTTTATTATCTTTTTATTTCCTGCCATGGCATTTTCCTGGGGCTTTAGATTTTTTCCGCATTTTTCTGCCCGTGTTTGTATTTATATAATATAAAATATAGAATTTGTTTTGTTTTGATAAAAAAAAAAATACAAATGCAAGCATTTGGATAAGGGAAAGTGAGAACTAAAATAAAAAAATACCATTCAAATTACAACTTTTATGAATGTTTCTCAATCATTTTATGTATATATCATTCACGTAAAATATATGTTTTTACGATGATTCTATGTGCTTATGAAATATGCAGGTTGTTGGACATTATGCTTGCATGTAAGTATATCTAGTTAATGTTAAATATTTGAAAAGATTTTTGGATAAACATTATTTTATTAAGATTTTGTTTCTCAAAGTTCTTCCAAATCAACTGAAACTATAAGAATAAGTGTTCATTAACACTATATTCAACTCAAAACCAATATAATTTTACCTTTTAAAAATCATAAATTAATAGTTTAATATTATGTATGTTTTTATTGGTATAATTTTTATTTAATAAAAATTAAAATAAATATTACAAAAGTATACTAATAATATCATATATATTATATTATATTAACTATGTATCTTTCTGGTGGAAAAACAAGATGCACGCATTGCATAGCCTGCACTAGGAAGCATGAAAACGTGCTTCCCGACAGAAGCGATTCCCGATCTTGGGCTTATGGGCTGACCATACTCTAGTGAGCTATTAAGTCCATCATAGCCCAATAATATTTCAGTTGAAGCCCAGTATTAGGACCGCAAAATTCAAAGCATATTCACATTGTTGACCAGAAGAGAAGGAAAAAAAAGCAATTGACTAAGGTTCAAATCTTCAGCTAAGAGAACTAGAAAGAGAATGCGAACTTTACTTAGTCAAGCTAAACAAATTTAAATATGTAAAAATAATGTTTAAAATAGAGTAACTTAGTTTTTTTATTTTTAAAAATTTTAATGAGCTTAACTCACACTAAACTTGATTAGATTGAGTTAAAAAGGTTCAACTTTAACTCACTCATTTTATTAGCGAGTTTAAAATGAGCGGGATTGCACAGACTCCGAATTACTTAATAACAACTCAAATTTATTAATTTTTTTCCTCCCGAAACCACCCTTACATTTCTTTACCCATTTTTGCAATAGAATATGAAAAATAGGTAGAAATTGATCACCTAATGAGGTTAATTAGTTAAGAATTTACCTAAAAATTTTGCAAATAATTTGCTTATATTTAATCCCCTTTTATTATAAATAAAGTGCGTTAAAAAAATAGTTTAATTATGCTTTAGTTTATGTATGATTTTGGTCTCTATTGCTTGTATTTATCTCTCTTAGTTTTTTAATTATTCAAATTAAGTTTCTCACCACAAATTTTCATTTAATAATTAATAAAAAATATAACAAATATGGTCATTGCCTAGGTATCGATGACAACCTCAACACTTGGTATTGATAGTTCCTGAAAGTTGATGAATGTCTCTCACAATGCTTTGATCTGCTTCACAAGTGGGGAATGTTTTTATAAGAACTAATCCAATGTTTAAATTAGAAAAATTTGATGAGTGAGAATTATGTAAGCGTCTGTGTTGTGTCTTGACACGTCTAATAAAATTAACATTCTTCAAAAATATTAAATAGAAGACATATATATGCACAACATGTAGATCACTTTCGTTGCAAACCAATTTTGAAATCAATTTTCATAAGGTTTTGCCCATGATAAATAAAGGTTTAATAATTAATTTGATAGTAAGACCAAATATATGTTTACAATCGACATAAATTTAAAGGAGCCTCACTTCTATAACAGATTTTAGTTCAGTAATGACAATTTTACTAGTTTAATCAAGATTAAAGATCAAAATATCTGACATATTATTAATTTATACAAATTTTTTAAAAAATATATAAAATAATTAAATAAAAAATATTTTTTTATTAACGTATACAAATCAATAATATGTCATACATCTATTGTATTTATTTTAATCATTCAATAAAAGATTAAAAGTATAATTAAGAGATTAAAAAAAATTAAATAAGTAATTAAATTAAAAGAATTAAAACTGCACATAAATTAAAGTATAAGGATCAAAAGTGTAATTAAGTAAAAAATATTTCTTAAACATCAAAGTGAAATAATAATTTTTTCTTTGATTATTTTTTTAAAATGTATACAAATAAAAGTAAAAAAAAGGGGGGGTAATTACATAATATTACACATATAAAGATATATTATATGAAAAAATATTTTTACATGAGGATGAAATAATTAATAGTTAAATATTAATTAATTTTTAATATGAATAGTCAATATTAAAATGCGTAAGTTACGTGAATTTTTTTAAAATCTCATGACCTTTGTAAGTAAATATAACTTTTTTTTTACCCTAACCATTTATATATGAATATATAGCTTAAATATGTTCATCTCATTCATAGGTTTAAGTTCACTCTGGTTATTAAATAAATACAATACAGAGACAAGGACACATAAACATTGTAATTTTCCATAAAAACAATGAGACCCATAAAATGCATAAATATTTTTCTCTTAGTACGCCAACTTAACAATGATTTATTTTTCTAATTCTTATATTAAAAAATATTTTTTCACTAAATACTTCCCATACATTTATTATATCATTCATGCTTATAGGTTGAAATAATGGAACTCAAAATGCAATGTCTCACATTCTACGCTTCAACTATTGGAACAGAACCACGATGAGCCTTGCAATTGCTGACAAATAATCACGTCACCAATGCGTGGATTAAAATTCATCATTCTAATTCTGCCAACTCGATCGCATTCGCATGCCTTCCTTCACACATAAGCAAAGCAATGACAATAGCAAAATACAATCCATGAAAGCATGTCAATTGAATGGTCAGCTACTAAACCAACATCACCACACCTTAATCCCAATGGAGGTGCACGCAGTGGATATTCCCCGTTTAAATAGAACACAGATTCCTAATTAATCATTTTAATCATGGTTGTCAGCACCGCTTTATACAAGGCGTGGAATAGCTTATGATTTAATCACCGCAATTAATTTAAATAAGTACTGTGTATTATAATACAGCAAATAATAAAAATTGACCATTATAATAGGAACCATATTTGTTGGAAGAAAAATACTCATTAAGGAAGCACTTTTTAGCACTCTCTTTTAAATATATTTTTTACTATTAAATTTTATTAAAAATTATGTAATTTTGTAGTTTATAATAAATTTTAGTTAATAATTAAAAATATATCTAAAAGTATATTTTCAATGTTCCTTTTCGCTAGAATCATGTTTAGAAACATTAATTGCAGAATGTGTGCCTAAATCCTGTAATAAAACTTTTGCATCTCATACCATGTAATCATTCCATGAGCGTAGTGTAGTTCATTTAAAGAGGTTCTTAAAAATTAAAATATATCGCATATCCATTTCATTTCTATATAAGCCAGCTGAACTCACTCATTGTTCAACACAGTTAGCCCCTACTGAACCAAAAAGGTAGAAAGATGTTTTCAGAAAAGACCCTTTGGCTTTTGCTTGCTATTTTCTCACTCAATGTTGCCATAGCATTAGCCTCAGACCCTGATCCAATTCAAGACTTCTGCATACCAAACCCAAGATTTGGTGCTATCAAAACAGCACATGCCATGCACACTATTCTCCCATGCAAGAACGCCTCAGAGGCCACTATTGATGACTTTGTCTTCTCTGGCATGAAAGCCACAGGGAACTTCTCTGATACAGGCCTAGCTGTGATATCTGCAAGTCCTACAAATTTTCCAGGTCTCAACACACTGGGCATGTCCTTTGCACGTGCAGATATTGAAGTGGGGGGCATCAACCCACCACATTTTCACCCAAGAGCCACTGAGTTGGTTCATGTGGTGCAAGGAAAAGTGTATTTGGGTTTTGTTGATTCAAGCAATAGGGTGTTTGCTAGAATACTTGAACAAGGAGAGGTCATGGTGCTACCTAGGGGTCTAGTGCACTTCATGATGAATGTTGGTGATGAACCTGCCACACTGTTTGGAAGCTTCAATAGCCAAAACCCTGGCATTCAGAAGATAACATCTGCTGTGTTTGGTTCAGGGATTGATGAGGAACTTTTGCAAAAGGCTTTTGGATTGAGTTCTAAGCAGATTGGGACCATGAGAAAAAAGTTTGATCCCAAAACAGCAAGGTAGATAGATAAAGGTGACTAGTCCTGTTTGTCCATTACCTTTCATTCAGAGTTTTGAGTCATATCTTGGGGTTTAAGTTCTATGGCTTCTTTCTTTGTTTTGAAGAGTTTTCAACACCCCCCCCCCCGGTCTCTCCTGCTTTTTGTGTGTGTCGTTGTAATATTACTATATATAAGTGAAGATTATGGAGTGCAACTTAGTCACATTACCTTGCTTTGAAACTTTGAAGCAGCAAAAATAACCCCTTCCCCTCTCCTCCTAAAAAACAATTAGGGTCTTAAGAGTATTAATTAAAAAATTAATAATTAAAAACCATATTGAGAATGTAATAAAAAATACAGGAAAAGTGCAATTAATCAGTATTTAGCATGTTATCATTTGTCAAATAACTAATAATAAAGAAAACAAGATAATATGACTTGGATGATGATGCTTTGAAGGAATTGGTTTGATGTTTAGCAGATGATGGCATGATAGTTGACAATAAATAGAGCTGCGTGGCAGAGTATTGTGCTGCAAACTTTATATTTCTCCACCCCCCACCCCCACCCCACTACTTCAATAAGTCATCATAAGCGTTATGCAAGAGATGATAACAATCATCAGGCTTTGCCAATTAAGAAAAGGGAAAATAAAGTGAGTGAGAGGAATCAGAAAGCAAGTGAAAGACAATTATAAGCAGCACTGCCAGAACAAACACATGAAATTATTAAGCGTCAGAATCAAAATCTATAAATTAAGGAAAAACCGCCATTTTTTTAATCCTCTTGTAGGCTAGTGGAGGACCCGGTTTTTATTACAGAAAAGAAAAGCCATATCATACCAACCAGCAATGCACACAAATTATAAACTGCAATTATTCCCTCGTACCCCTTACACGTGACTAGGAAAAAGGTACAAGGGACTGAAAACATTATTCACAATAATTTGTATAACCACATTTGCTTCGGGTAGTAGTTCAATACAGATCATAATATTTTGGAAATAATATTTCATAACCCATTTCTTATTTTAGTGCCTCCATTTTCATCAATTGATTTGGCATTGAGCGTTAGCCGTGGATCACAAAATTTCCTTTAGTATTTTGATCCTCTAAAAAAGGGGATACGCAACGAGAGTTGATAAGAATCGTAGATAAATAATTGTTATGCTTCCAAATCATAACATAAGTCTAAGTAAAAGAAAGCCAAGAATTTAGAAGAGCTCATGAAAAGTTTAAAAAACACCCTATTATTCTAGTATTTTTTTAAAGCTTATTTTAATAAAATACAGCTTAATAAAACAAACTTTTTAAAAGTTATTCTATATATTTTATATTTACTCGCTGGAATTTTTTCTTACTTTGATGTTGTTTAAAGTCAAGTATAGATATAAAAGTTACAAATTAAATAACAGTAGAGAGAAGCTGAGTTACATATAAGTAATTGATTTCTCGCAACCTGTATAACTTGCTCATGTAAGTCAATGTAGGTGATACTTCCGCATGTGTGTAAACACTCTCACATATCTCACCGAATGGTATGAGAGTCAATCGACATACCCGTGGTTAAAAAAAGGCTTCAGCTGAAGGGAGTAGTTTTAAAAGGGAGAGAAAAAGAAGAAAAAGAAAAGGACATAAAAAACTCACTTAAAAGGCAAGTATTAGAGTTATACTTGATGTCCAAGTCTCATGACTCTCATATTCTCTTGTGTGTGTAAACACCCATCGCTACTATAACCCAGCAGGCGCGACTAGATTCAAATTGTTGCAAATAACTTACATATGTTTTCAATATTAAAATATTAGAAAATTAACTCCCCACGCCCTTGAACAAATAATCATATTAAAAAGAATAAAATTGCTCCTTTAGAAAATCAAATTTTTATTTAGATAACCAAAGCAACAAAGTGAAATCAAACATCAAGTAGATAAACGATCGTCCACCAAATCCATCAATTTATGAAGCAGTTATCAACTATCATCTGTTTGATAAGGTACATATTGGTAGTTATTACCTAATTATAGATCAAGACCGTCACCACATTCATCTTGAAAAGAAGTTTCCCAAAGGATTACAGAAACTGCTCAGATTTCAAATCGCGTCAGCTTGAGAGGAACAAGTCAGCTTCTGTTAAACAACTTTTCACACAAAAGATCGACGTTCACATATAATTATTAAGAAGTAACTGGATTCTCCCTTCAGTTAAGTGTACTCAATGTTGTTCAAAGTTGATCATACATGACATTCTGTTCAACGCTTTGAATTCTCCAAAACTGAGATATTAAATGCCAAAGCTAACCTGAGCTAGACACTGACCAACATAGAAGCCTACTTCACACTAAAAAGTGACTTGATGATAGTATCAACCATACCATCAACATAACCAAACAAGTGGCCAGATCCTTTAAGTTCGTGATAGTGAATCCATGGAAGGTTTTGCACTATGTATCGTTGCAGTGTGACTGGAACCATCAAATCCTCATCACCTTGCCAAAGATGGACAGAAGCTTCGTTATTTGGAAATGGGTTTTCAATATCCATGGGTGTATATTCCCAGTTACCAAATCCAATAATCAAGTCACGGTGGATAGTTTCATATTCACCTTGCTGTCTCACCTGCGCCTATGGAAGTAACACAAAAGAAACAAAATTTATAAATCAGTATTGAGAATTGAGGTAAGAAACTGATGGTTTCGGGATTTGGAAGAGCTAAAAGTTTCCCATGCCAATATTCCAACCGAAATAAGACATACTAGACATTATGAGAGAAATTAACAAAACAACTACAGAACTTGAAGCATGCTCAATTAAAATGAGATTAATCAGATCCAAATTCCAATTAATTAACCACTTCTCACAAAAGTATTTCTTAATTAGGGATTGAAATTCCAAAGATTCCCTTACCACAAGGGTGCCTATAGAAATGATAAGCTGCTTTACCATTTCACAGATAACTGAAAAATCAATATCAAAAGGACATGCTAACGAGTAACGAAGTCAAATAGTGTGCACAAGCACAAGTACAAAATTGCCTTGCTTCAACAAAGAACATACAATAACAAAAGTCTTTTCCAGGTAGGTCGGGCGAGCCATACAGATAAAATGATTCCATGGTGCCATGCTTCAACAAGAAAATAACATGCATAAAATTATAGAATTTCCACATCACTAATTACAATAGAGCCTTTAAAATTCAATTTGTTACTCAAAGATCGATTACAAATTGTGAAACAACTCTTATTACATGCCATGCATGAAATCAATAATCATCAGGCAGTTTACTTGGGATGCAGAGAGAAAATTGACAAGTACAAGATAATAACACCATGAAGATTAATTTACTTTTTATGCCAAGCCAACCAAGTCACAGTGGCAGTGTTCTAATAATTTTCTAAATAAGTTGCGAAGGTAATTTGAAGATAAGAGAATGAAGAACTAACATGAGCAATACACTAAGGTTGTGTTTGGATGGAGAATTTTAAAATTCTTGGGAATTTCACATTAACAATTATGATGATTAAAATGTGAATCAAATATGAGAAGAATTATGAATAATAATTACAAAAAGTTAAGCATAATAGAGGAAAGTTTAAATTCTCTCTAATGACATGTCATTTAAAATTCCTTGTACTTCACATAAAAATTATCTAACAAAAATTCTGAAATATTTTAAAAATACTTTTTTATTAGTCAAATACGTGCAATCTAGTAATTTAGAATTCCTCTATCCAAACACAACCTAAAGGCCTAGAGCACATACAAACATTTTGCTTCTCTGATAAAAAGTTTCATGCAACCCATTTATTCTGACTTAAATTGAATGTTGTAAACAGATTTCAAGTTTCAACCATAAAGTGACAGTCCACAGGTCCATATTCCTTGCTATTCAATGATACAGGCTAAGTGTTTCTATAATATATCAAATTTATTGATTAATTGTTACAAAATGTGTTAAACTTTATTCAACAATTATACAAAACTAATACTATAATACACGGACAAATAGTTAATAAACCTTTAGCAATGGATTTCAGGCATGTTTTCCTCGCTATTTGTCCATGCCATGAATAAACAGGATCCAAACCAAATACTTGAATCAAGGTATTATTAAGTCTAATTTTTGCCTAAAAATGTTGCACTGGTCCTAAATTGATGCCAATAAAATACACAAATGATCACAGTTTAAACACTTCTGTTTGTTCTGTGTATTATATCTTCTAACTTCAGAAACCAACGAAAAGTAGCTATTAATTCCAATTTCCAAAAGTTACAACTGAAATTTTTTTATCAGTATAACATCAATAACAAGAAAACAGTAAGAGTACAAAGATTCAGAAACATAATAAAGGTGAAAATTGTTCACAACTGACTTCAAAAAATGCAGCCATCCACATGCTGAATTAAAGAATTAGAAGTTAGAAAAGCTTAAAAATACTTTTTTTACTGGTCAAATTCCAAGAAAACATATTCAGAACCTGAAGTGCAGTTGGTGTAAGTTCTGATCTTCAGCAAAATAATCCCCAAAAACTTTCAAAATCAAATTTTATGAATTTAACCAATATAAATTATCAACTAAATCACTCACTGAATTCAATTCAGCAAAAATTCACAATGTTGTAACCACAATCAAATTTTATGAATTTAACCAATATAAATTATCAGCTAAATCACTCACTAAATTCAATTCAACAAAAGTTCACAATTTTGTAACCACCTAAAGGCTGGGTACTTACCACATAACTATTTCTATTAGACATCTTAGGCACAAGTTCTTTGTCTTGGTGAGAAAGGATATCTGGACTACGAGCAATTACACTAGCTGCCGGGAACCATTTTTGAGTGTTCCACCAGTAAGTTAGCCATGGTAAGTAGTGAGCAACTCGAAGAGCCCATTGGTCTTGTAGTTTGTTTTGGTAATAGGCTTCAGTAGTTAAGTTTGTAGGAAGACCAGGCCACCAGTAGTTGATAACCGGGGCTAAGAGCACTGCACCAGCCAACCTGTCAGCATTTAAGATTTTTATTGCTGAGAGTTACAAAGAGGGGTTGCCAAATGTATCTCACACTGATAACATGTATAGGCCAACAAGCAGATGTAAGCATAATAAAAGAGTAAATAATACAATGTCATTCAAATCAATAAAGTTTCACTTTAATCCCTGAAACTTACAACAACATTCAAATCAATTCTCTAAATTTTAAGTTTTAAATGTTAGTCCATAAGAATAAGAGTTGTCAATCATTTTAGCCTTTATCATAAAAAAAACTTTAGAATGTGATAACAGAATAAAGATTTGTCACATCAAATGACACGGTGAAGTTCATTCTAGACAAAACAAAATTATTTTAAGATTTTTCAAAAATAGTTCATTTTCGTCTAGAACTATTGAGATTTTCAGACTTTAACATCATTGCATCTGCTTTGTCTTCTTTCTTGGGAACTTATTCATCTCCTTCCTCTTCGACTTCACCACCAAGATATACAACGCCACATTTGCACTTATCTGTCTCCCATAGCAGCAGCAATCAAAGTGCATGCGGTGCTATAGCTCTGTCGAACTTTTCGCTGTCTACAACACCTATTTTGATTTTTTGGTGGCCATGGACATTGACTCCAGCAAGGAGCTGTTTAGGAACGAGATACAAATTGCTTTGGTCTTTGGATGTAAGCAAAGCCAAAAATTTAAGGAGGGAGAAAGAGAGGGATGGAGGAACCTGTAACCTAGATTCTAAACATCATAGTGTTTTGGAGATCTTTTGCATTCTTTGCTGTTCTTTTGCTTCTCATTCATAGTGCTCATTGTGTTATATATCTAGAGTGAATTCCAAAATGTCACTTAACAAAACAAATTACCGCTTTGTTATTTAATTTTAATATCTCTTGACAACAAAGACTAAATTGATTGACGATATTAATCTCAAGGATTTACGTTTAAAATTTTAATTTTAGAGGATTGACATCAATCATGTTGCACATTTTAGAGACTTCCAAAAAAATTGTTTCAGTCAATAACCCTACAAATAACCTGGCCAAGTCATACCTGTGAGGTATGTATTTAAGGCAGTTCCAAACAACCTGTCCACCCATGGAGATACCAACTATATGGAATTTGGATCCCAATCCAAGCTGATCTGCGAGCTCTTCTATATCTAATGCAATGCTTTTTAATGTACGATTTGGATCAGGATCACTTTCCCCGTAACCAGGTCTGTCAAAAGATACAACGTAGACCCCCAAGTCCTCAACAATGTCCTGGAAAAACCCACCATAAATATAACTAGTACAAATGACAAAGATATAAGAGAATGCTATGAAACAGAAAAATGCAACATAAATAGTTACAGAAGATAGCGCTTCGGCAATTATGGCATCATGCCTGCAACCATCAAAACCATGGACAGAGATTATCTTATACTGGGCTGCATCTTTTGGAGCACCATGCTCCTTGTATGCCAAATGCCTTCCATCTCTTAGTTTGATTCTCAGTGCTGTTACTGGCGGCCCATCAGGAGAGCCACAGATCTTGGGAGGAGGAGGTCGAACAACCTGATAAGCCCATGCTAGAAACCCAATAAACAAAACTGATAGTGTTGTTCTAAGCATTCCTGGGAGTTTGAAATTCCAAATTAGAAAACCGATTAATCAAATTGATAATATAAACAAGAATTTGCAGTCCATAAGTCAAGCACAAGAATATCAAACTACAGCTTAATAATTACCCTATGATCCAACACAGGTGGAACTAGCTTGAAATCTCATATAAAAAAACAACGGGGTTAGTTACTCAAAAGGCTTAGGTTTGATTCCTGTTACAATCAATCCCTTTCAGCAAGTAATTTTTATGTACCATTATAAACTGTGTGAGGCTGATAGCATACCAGGCCTAGATAAAAAAATGGCATACTCCCGTCTCCCTAAATTTTAGCTCATTAATAAATAAAAAATAAACCCCTTACGATAAAAAAAGAACAAACAAAACAATAAAAATTTCAAACTAATAAAAATACTATGTATAGGTGATTTTGGTGTTGTTTTCTAATTGAAATTTTAGTTCCACCTTAGTAATTCACATAATAAAAGTTGGCATTAAAGGTAGACACATATTAGTAATACCAAAGTAAAACTTTAATCTTGATTGGAAAACAATACCAAAAGCACTTATGGAACTACACTTAAGTTGTCTTTAACATAATTCCTGAACAACTAACAATGTGCCAGGTGCAATGGCAGCCATTCCCAGTCTCGATACAGAATTGAAACGCAAAAATCGATTCATTTTATGTATCCAAACTAAATAATTGCTAACACACACACACACACGAAGAGATCAACTTACTTTAGGAGTATATCTTTCATAACTTACTCTGCTTAATATTTTTTTTATAAGCATTAAATTCCATTAATACAATTGTTAGTTTGAGACTTCCCGTTAAGTAACTAAGTCTACAAAATTTCAGGTACTTTTATTACTATTTAATACTTTATCAATTTAACTTTACTTTACCATATAAAATACTTTTCAAATATAAGTAAATATTGACTATAAAGTTACATGTAAATGAATGTCCAATTCATCTAAAACTTTGACATGTATCACATAATTCAATATGTATTCTCTAAACAGCAGTTATGCAGGGTAAGTACTAAGTATCAAGACATAGCAGATCCCTTCCCTGTATATACATATCTATAAACCTCTTAACCCTGAATAAAATAACATCTGGGACAGGTTTCCCAAGTTTCCTTAGTGCTCATCAAACAAAATGTGGGGAATTAATAACCAGGTGTTCAAAGATGCAGCGTGACCCAAAAAAATTATAAATTAAAATGCGCGAAAAAGGGAACTTTGATGAAGAAAGATGAAAAGGGTGAAGAGGCACCTGAGGGGAGCTGAAAGGAATTGGTCTTCTTGGCCCTCCGAGTGTGAGCCCTGGCTGATGCCGCAGAAATTTTTCTGTTCACTCGGGTGGCCATTGTGAGAGAAGAAAGTTGAACGATTAAAGCGAAAGTAGAAGCGCAGAGAGAGCGATCTACGCAGTGGAGGAGAGGTAGATCATTAGATTAGACTTCAGACAAGCCCGGCATTTCTTTGTTGCGTAATTATAATAACGGTTTTTTTAATCTGTATAGAGTAATTATTCGTTAAATTTTTTAAAATAATATATTTATTAATTTTGAAATATTCAACATTAAAATTTATAATATTTTATTATTTGTAATGCAAATTTATTGCAACTTCTTATTGTATATCTTAAATATACGCTAAAAAAAGTAATAATAATAAGACTTAATTGCAGTTTTAAATCTTATATTTTAATTATGTATAACTTTAATTCTTTTACTCTTAATTATTTATATTAAAAAAATTTAATCCTTTAGTTACTAAAATTAAGTTTTGTATCTTAAAATTTAATTTAATGATTAATAAAATATATAATATACTATTAATTGATATAAATTACATGTATAATTAAATGAAAATTAAGAATTTAATTTGAATAAATTATTAAAGTAAATTTAAAATTAAAAATATAATAATAATATTTCACGAGAATTCTTAATAGCAAAAGTCATATCAACGTATAAGAACTCTATATTCAAAATGTAAAACACGTTGGTCAACCAAAACCTGTAACATCCATAATTTTAATGCAGTAGATAAAATCATATTATTTGAAATTTTCACAACGAAAAATTTGATTATATGCTTTGTACACACATTGAGAGAGAGTTTCTTATGCCTATTATATATATATATATAAGTGTGCAAGTGAGCAAGAAGGGAAAACCTTGTTTTGGCCACTTTAGCTAAGAGAGAATTAAAGTTCAATGTGGAAATTTCTAGTTGACCAAACACTTAAAAATAAAACACTTCTGTGCTGTCCTTTTATATCAATTATGTATTCTATGATTTTCTTTGAAATCTATTTTTAGTTTCCTAATTAATTGTTGATGTCCAAATTGGCCTAGAATAGCCGTGGAATTCCACTGTAAAACCAAGCCCAATTTGTTTCATTTTACTGCAAGCATATAAATAAGAAACATAACCAGCACTTCCTTTCTCAGCTTGGCTTTCTCTCTTTAGGATTTAAAGTGGGGGTAAATTTATGTTTTTATGTATTTTAAAATTAATTATGCATTTTCTCATAATTTCAATTTTATTTATACTTCAAAATTTTACTTAAATTTAAAAACTCATAAAATATGTCCGAAACTTGTTAATTATAAAAAAAAAATTTAATATGATAAAATTATTTGTACAATTATTTATAATGAAAGAGTTATTAAGTTATAAAATATATTTAAAATGGTAAAAAAATAAAATTAATCAATAAATAAATTTGAATCCCCTTGCATTGAGAGTAGAGGACAGGGTTGGAGTTGAAGAAACCCACACTCTCACCCATTTTCCAATATTGGTACTTGTTTTTTGAATGTAGACTGTTTCAGTGTTCTGAAATGACTTCGCCCAGTCACACAATCATATCATAGACTTCTAGCCTCAGAATATATATATATATATATATAAAATATTTTTTTTTAAAGTAGAGTTTTGGCATTTTCAAAAGTTAGAGCACCACTAATTGCTTTATTATTTATAATAAATACACATTTTTTTTCTTTTTTTAACCACAGGAATTATGTTTTACAATTGTAGGTTTGTTTTTTATCTGTTTAATTATATATAACTATATTTATTAGATTTTAACTCGAGATCATAATTATTAAAAATATTTTTTATTAGCAAAAATTTAATTAATACACTCTTACTTCTAAGTTTTTAATATAATTTTTAATTATTTTTAGTTATTTAACCGAAACTATATCTATTACCAAAAAGTCTTTAAAATATAATATGTGTTAACAGAATACATATATATTTTTTTATATTTTTCTTAAAATAAGACATAACTCTTGTGCCGGTGCTGTTACTTGTGGCGGGCTTATGTGAGATAGTTGAGGGAATCTGCTGTTAGGATTTAACAAGGGAATTAGTTCTTGTTCACCTTTAGAAGCTGAACTTTGAACTTTTTATTTCGATATTTAACTAATTATGAAGAAATGTTTTCATTAAGTTTGGATTGAGAGTGACTGTAAACAAGCTATTCACTTCATTCAAAAGATTCAGCTTCCTTCCCATCCCCTTTTCAAGCTGATACAGGACATTAGGAGTAGTTTTCACTCCATCAAATGTATCAGCCTTAGGTATATTTGTAAAGAGGCTAATACATGTGCTGATAGCCTAGTCAAAGCTAGCTTAGAGGAGTATGTGTATCCCTCAGAGTTTGAATCTATCCCTTATAGTCATCTTCCTTTTCTTTGTATGGATTCTCTTGATATAAGGCTCCCTAGAAACTCTTTGTAGTTTAGTATTGTTTGGGCTTTAGCCCTCTTTTTAACAAAAATAAAAATAAAATAAGACATAACTTTTTCTCTCTAAAAAAAACTTATAAGAAATTGTTTTTATTTTAATTAATCAATAACGACGTTAATCTTTTAGGCTTTTTATTTTGAAAATAGTTATTTTTGAAGTTTAATTTCTTAAAATTTAATTAAATTAGTATATGTTATATTTTTTATGAAGCTTATTAATCAATTATATTAGTAATACACAATTACAATAAAAAATATATATAATTAAATAACAACCGGTTTATAAAAATTGAATTGAATCTAACAATATGTTACATAAAAATAGTCTACTTATAATTTTTTAAAAATATTTATTAAATAAATAGATAAATGATTTTTGTATTTAAAATGATTTAAAAATAATTAAAATATACTATTATCTGACTATAAATTATCATATTAATAAAATAATTAATTTTTATAAAAATTATATCTATAATGTATTTTAATTAGTTGACGGTACAAAATTGTTTACAGTACACTGCACCAAAATTAAATTTTAAATAAAAAATGAGTTTCTGAATCCATTTTGAAAATATTGCCAAAATAAAAATTTATCATAGTCATAAAATTGAGGATACTTTGATACCTTTAATAATAGTTCGTATTAATATTATTTCTTGTGTTTTTTATTTAAAGATTAGGCCAAACAAATGAAAATTATAAAAAAGGATTAAAGGTTGTTTTTTATGTCTTTAAAATATAATTTTAAAATTTTATTAAAAAAAGAAGTTTAATTTTCAAAGATGTTATGTGTTATATAAAGAAAACTTCATTTTTCCTTTTAGTTAATTGAAAAAAGTAATTATAATTGCAACTTTTTGTGTAATTATTCATAGTATCTTTTTAATATAATTAAAAAGTTGATATCTTCAGTTTTTTTTTTAAGTTTGAAGAAATATATTTAAAATTTGAAATATCTGTAAAGAATAAAATTAATTTATCATAAAAAGACTTGCAGCAAAATAAACTCGAAAATTATAGTTTTGAAAATCAGATCGGATAAATCAATCTACCCGGTTCATTATTTCCGTTTCCTTAACAGAATTAGCAAAATTAAGAATAGAAATTAGATTAACTGTAATCTCTTTTTCGAAAAAAATTGTGATTTGAGGATAAATAAAATAAAATCCATGTACCGATCGAGAATGTTCCAAGAATCCATGGCTTGAAAGGTGGAGGAGCCTTGGATGGACGTCACAACAGCATGGTTGGTTTGGAGAAGACCACACCTCCTTTCATCATTCCAGACTCGTTGGATCCAACGTGAATACCCAAATTTTGTTTAAAATTTTTTATTTTATTTTATTTTAAAAAAATCTTAATTTATTTTATAAAAAGGAATAAAAATAAAATATTTTATGAAAATTAAAATTTGCTTTAACAAATTAGAAAGATTCAGATTTGACTTTAAAAAAAATAGAAACATAGCAAAAATTGAACCAAAAAATAAGCAAAATTTTTTATCATGAAAATGAAACTTGGATAAGAAATTTGGCCTTTATCTAATTTTAAATGCATAAAAAAATAAAGGGAGAACATCAAATAAGAAGCTGAAAATTTTGTTTGAGGAAGGATACTTGGAACCTAAAGAGAAAAAGGTTGAAGGAACGGAGAAACAACAAGAATAAAAGGCAAGAAATTTTTTTTAAGATTTATAAGTAAGTTTTTATCACACATTCTAAGAATTTTTTTACATATTCTTACTATTGAATAAGTGTTTTCACATCACATAAATCTCATAATATCAAAAAAATAAAAACAAAATTTTACAAATATTTTTTTATATATTCCATAAAAGTTCCTTCATCCACTCTTTTTTTCTTTTATTCTCTTATGTGTCTCACTACTTTCAATCATTCCTCTCTTCCACTCATCATTCTTTTATCTAAATTATCTTTCTACTAATCATTTTTTCTTTCTTAATGTATCATCATTCTCAAACACAAAACTTATCATGAAAGTTCATCCCCCACCTTTTCTCCTTTCTCTCCCTCTCTTTCATACTAATTTTCACCACACAAAATCATAGTCTCCATTAACTTTACCTCCACTCTTTCATAGTCTCTTAATTATCGTGTTGATTATTTATTCTTTATGATTGATATCTTTTATTTCATTTATTATATATTTGTAGAATATTGATGTGATTTAATTATATATTTATGATTTCTTTATTTTATATTGTGAATAGTAAATTATTTATTTTTTATATAATCAATTAATAAATAATAATATAATTACATCAATTTATAATACTAACTTATAACTTCTCTATCGTCATGTATTATAAATTGATAAAGTCAATGTGTACTTATGTTACTAAGACTTTATACAATATTAATTTATCATATATTCTCTTTAATTAATTAGTTATTCACTTTAATAATAAATCAAAATATATTTCCCTTCTAATTACTAACTTACGAATAAATCAACTAATTTAAATTTAAATTATTTTATTAACAAAATAATTTATAATGTTAACATGTAGCGACTCTATCTTTATGTATTATAAATTGTCAAAAACTTATATGTACAAACGTTACCTTAGGTTTTATATGATATAAATCTATCAAATAAATTTTTTAATCTTTTTATCAAATAAGTATCTTTTTTTTATCAAATAAGTATCTTCTTTAATCAA